CAAAGACATTATTCCTCTTTGTATACTTATTTAGCATCTGCTGCCCCCACTGGCACGTGAGCTTCATGGTGGCATTTTATATTTGTGGATGACTAAAGGGGGACTTCCTGTAGAGCCCACGCAAAGATCTTTGTCTTTCATCTTTGTCATTTTGTGTCTGGCACATAGAAGTGCAGGTGATTAAAGGATAGGAGGGAAGCAGTTGAGGCTAACGCCGCAAATGCGAAATTTCCACCAGGATGGGCCCCTCGTGTGTGCCCAGGTGCAGTTCCCCAGGTTGGTGGAGGTAAGGGTGGTGTGGGATGGGGACAGCGCTTAAAGAGAGATGGCCCAGGGCTGTGGCAGCGAGAAGACTTGCAAGCTGCCTGTGTTCTGGGTGTTGTGAGGCTGTTCTCTGCCGAGTGTATGTAAGAACTTCTCCCTGGCGTGTGGAGGGGACTGGATGGATCGTCCTGCCCCCAAGCCTTCTGGCCACCAACCTTTGCATTCCTTTTTTTTTGAGACAGAGTTTCACTCTTGTTGCCCAGGCTGGAGTGCAATGGCACGATCTCGGCTCACTGCAACTTCCACCTCCCAGGTTCAAGCGATTCTCCTGCCTCAGCTTCCCAAGTAGCTGGGACTACAGGCACGTGCCACCATGCCCGGCTAATTTTTTGTATTTAGTAGAGACGGGGTTTCATCATGTTGCTCATGCTGGTCTTGAACTCCTGACCTCTGGTGATCTGCCTGCCTCAGCCTCCCTAAGTGCTGGGATTACAGGTGTGAGCCACTGTGCCCGGCCAGCCTTTGCATTCCTGTTTCTCCTCTCCCACTGCACAGACTCCCCAGCATTGCTCTGGAGCAGGTGCACCTCTCAGGACACTTAGCCAGCTGGTAGAAATGTCCAGGACAAAGTAAAGGGATAATTAACAGCTGTTGATTGATACGGGCATGAGGGTGACTGTGCTTGTAACAACAATGGAACTTAATTAAAATTAGCTGCCCTTGCAGCTATTGAGGTGCTGCCTTGACCTCTGTGGCTTCCACATGGTTACCTGAGTATTGAAGACACATCCGGAAATTGGAGTTCTGTGTTTAGGTGACGTGCCTGCTGTGGCTGTTGGATGATAATTATGTAGATTTTCCTCTGGAACTTAATTTTGCAAACTGTCAAAACGGGCTTGTTATATTTATCTCTTAAATCATTAGGGAATAATAATTAGACCAAAAATGATGTAAAATGCTTCTGTATTAATAATTATTTTTAGCTCCAAACTGCTGGTGATAATTGGTTTGTGGGGTTGGTCTTTAGAACTGCCTTAGGAGGTTCAGAATAAAAAGGCACCTTATGTGGTTGCCTGGAGGGGCCAGTTTTTAGCACTGTGGCTTAACTTTGTTATGGGTAAACAGAGGCAGACCCTGTGCTTCACTGATTGACAGCAGTAGTTAACGTTCCCTGAGGACTCACTCATTGTTTTGCTGTGTGAACTCATTTAATTATCACGGTAGTGCTGGAACTACCCCATTCTGCAGATGTGAACACCAAGAAACTCACCCAGACTTAAGCAGCCAGTCAATCCCCCAACCAGGATTGTGGCCCAGACACCCTGACTCCTGAATCCGCATTTGTAACTGCTGTGTCGTGCTGTTTCTGTTTCTTAGTACCTACTGCATGTCATTGTCCTGAGCCCAACTAAACCCTCACATCAAGGCAGGTGGGATTCCTCGTGTGGTAGAGGAAATCAAGATTTAGAGAGAGAAGAATTTGCCCAGATCGTTTTTTATTTTCTTGTCTTTTATCTCTCCTCTCCTCACCTCACCTGGCCTTGCCCCACCCCTCGCCCCTTGCCCTCAAGCCTTCTGGCCACAAACCTTTGCGTTTTTTTTTTTTTTTTTTAGAGACAGAGTTTCACTCTTGTTGCCCAGGCTGGAGTGCAATGGTGCCATCTTGGCTCACTGCAGCCTCTGCCTCCCAGGTTCAAGTGATTTTCCTGCCTCAGCCTCCCAAGTAGCTGGGACTACAGGCATGTGCCACCACGCGCAGCTAATTTTTTGTATTTAATAGAGATGGGTATCACCATGTTGGTTAGGCTGGTCCCTTCCCCTTCCCTTCCTTCCCCTCCCCTCCCCTCCTTTTTCTTTCTTTCTTTAGACAGAGTCTCACTCTGTCGCCTAGGCTGGAGTGCAGTGGCATGATCTCAGCTCACTGCAACCTCCTCCTCCTGGGTACAAGTTGTTCTGCCTTAGCCTCTTGAGTAGCTGGGATTACAGGCGTCCACCATCATACCTGGTTAATTTTTGTATTTTTAGTAGAGACAAGGTTTTGCCATGTTGGTCAGGCTGACCAACTCCTGGCCTCATGTGATCTGCCCACCTAGGCCTTCCAAAGTGCTGGGATTACAGGTGTGAGCCATAGTGTCTGGCCCCCAGGTCATTTCTTATTTGATTCTTTCATTCAGCACATATTTACTGAGAACTTAGTATGCACCTGGCATTTCCTAGGCCCTGGTGTTACCTCCATGATCAAGCTAATTGTTGGAAGACAGTTGTCATTCTTGTTCTTGTGATGTTTACATTCCAGTGGTAAAAGATACAATAAACAAGAAAATACCAGATCATGAGTAGCAGCCGGAGAACTAAAATATGATGATGTGATGAAGAGTGAGAGGTCCCTTCTTTAGATGGTTCTTAGGCAGGCCCATTTTGTGGGGTAGTGACTGACATCTCTACTGAGATCTGAATGCCAGCTCAGATCCAGCCACTTGAAGACCAGACTGAGAACATTCCAGGCAGAGGGATGCCTGCAAGTGCCCCAAGGTGTGAGCCTGGCGGGTGACGGGGAGGGGAGTAGGCGGAGAGGGCACTGGGAAGGGGCGTCCGTTGGTGCAGCTTTGAGAGCCAAGGTCAAGACTTTGGGTTTTATTTGTAAGCACAATGGGGAGATGTTGGAAGATTTTAACCAGTGATGTTATGTGATCTGCTATTTGTTTGAAAAAGATCATAGTTGGGAGCCGCGGTGGCTCCGACCAGTTGTCCTGGCGCTTGAGGAGGCGAGGCTATGAGTTCAAGGCCAACCTGAGCAACATAACAAGCTCTCATTGATTAACAAAAAAAGAAAAGAAAAGAAAAAGATCACAGTCCTCGGGTGATTGGATTGTGGGGGCAGGTGCTGCAGCAGAGTGTCCTGTTTGCTGTTGCTGTCATCCTGGTAAGAGATGGCAAGTCCTGGGGTGGTGGCTATGGACACAAGAAGAGTATTCATGGACTTGGGTGTGTTTTGGAGGAGGAGGTGGCTTGGCTTGCTGATGAGTTTGACGTAGGGAGCTTGGAAGAGAGAGAACTTGGGTGAACTACTCTGTAGATGGTGATGCAGTAGGCTGGGTGCAGTGGCTCACGCCTGTAATCGCAGCACTCTGGAAGGCTGGGCAGGCAGATCACTTGAGCCCAGGAGTTCAAGACCAGCCTGGGCAACATGGTGAAACCCCATCTCTACAAAAAAATAAAAAAAGATGATGATGCAGTTCACTCAAATGGAGAAAGCTGGGCTGGGGAAGATCTGCTTTATTTGTTCGTGATTGCAGGCTCCTTGGGTGGGCCTGTGGCAGACACGCTGAGTCTGTGTACCTCTTCACTCTCATGTCTAGTGGACATTGCATGTGAGTGGAATTCCAGAGAATGATGAGGGCTGGGGCTGCAGCTCTGAGAGTCCGTGCTACATTGTCGATACCTAAATTCGTGGCACTGGAACTGGCCTTGGACAGAAGGTGGATGGGGAGAGGACAAGCCCTGGGATGCGCCAGTGTTGAGCAGTTGAGCTGAGAGGGCCAGCCAGGGAAAGAGAGGGAGACCCAGATACATGTGATGTCAGGGATGCCAGGAGAAGCATTTCTGGAAAGAGGGAGCGGAGAGAAGACTGCAGGTGGACTCAGAACAGGGACGTGACCGTTGGATTTGGCAGTGTATCGGTTTGTGCTGACCCTGTGCAGAGCCATTTCAGGGAAGCCTGAGAGGAGACAGATGTGAGTGTGGAGGTAAGCAGCACGGAGACTGAAACTGCGGCATTGCAGTGAGAGGAGCACAGAATCGGGAGTCAGGGAGTGTGAGGTCAGTCAGGGTCTTTCCAAATGGGTGTTGGAACCTGCTTGTTTCCCGTGGGAAAGGCTCAAGTGTGAGGGAGGCAGTGCTGGAGGAGCAGGAGAGTGGGTCTGCAGAGTGAGGGCTTGAGCCCGAGCAGGTCTGTGCAGCTGAGTGTGCCAGGGAGGGGTGGTGGGGAGGGCAGGAGTGGGAGAGGGGTTGGTGATTTGGGTGGGGAGAAGATGAGGGAGTCCTGACTCACTGCTTCCTGTTTGACCCCTAATGAAGAAACAAGTTAATGGGCAGGAGTTGTGGGTGTTTTGAATAAAGGAGAGGATGTGAGGTTCTTTGGAGAGAAGAAAGTCGAGGCGCGTGGCGGGCCAGGGTGGGGGGGTAGTGGGATGGAAGTGCCTGGATGCAGGGCAGTGGGAAGGGGGACAGATACTTGGGTTTCCCCGGGATTGGGGTTTTTTCAGGTGAGAACAGTGGAGTGAGGGAGACCAACGTGGGTTGGGGCTGCGGGGCTATGGGGAGCGGCAGGGCACCCAGGTCTCTCTCTCCCCACCCAGCCATGCTTCAGTGTGACTGCCATCCCTTCTTTTCCTCCCTGCAGGGCACCAGGCTAAGCATCCTGGCAGTGCCATCTGCCCCTGTGTGGGGAAGGCTGCTGTGCTGGGCAGCTCATTCTGTGGCTCTAGCTCTAGAAGAGCACTCCCTGGCAGCAGCTGCTCCCCGCCTTCCCTGCTCCTGATGCTCTTTTCCTTGGGTTGGCTCAGGATGCCTTGAGGATGGAGAAAGTGGGTTGATGTCTCGAAAGTCAGCTAAAGTCAGAGTCAGAACAGGGGCTGCCAATGCCCTGTCTCCCAGTCTACATGGAGTAATTCAACATAGAAACAATAAAACAAATGCTACCATGGCTGACTGAGACCTTTCCTTTTTCTCCCCAGGTTTCAGGGAAGGTTTCTGGTGAAGGCTTTGGCAAAACCACCGGTGAGATTCTGCACTGCCATCCATTTCCAGGATGTGGCTTTGCAGCTCCTAATGGACCTCTTCCAGCCCCAATTGCTGCAGCCTCCCTTCCAGCTCAGTCCCCTGATGATCCTTAGTGTAGGAAATACCCCTTCTCCCTTTCTTTCTCTAGGATGTTTGCTTGCTTGCTTTTTTTCTTTGAGACAAGGTCTTGCTCTGTCACCCAGGTTAGAGTGCAGTGGCATGATCATAGCTCACTGCAACCTCAAACTCCTGGGCTCAAGCCATCCTCCCACCGCAGCCTCCACAGTAGCTAGGACTACCATGCCTGGCTAATTTTTGAATTTTGTATAGAGATGGACTCTTGCTATGCTGCCTAGGCTGGTCTCCTTGCCTTAGTGATCCTTCCACTGTGCTAGGATTACAGGTGTGAGCCACCATACCCAGCCCTAAGATGCTTTCTTAAAGAACATCGTCTGACCGACCCTCCCTACCCAGATGAGAATCTAGAGACTGGGAAGTGGGAGGGTGCAGCTTCTTGGCCCATTTTATGCTTCCTTTGAGGGCAGGGCCAAGGCCTCTTGTGGGTGAGGGGAGTGCATGCCTCTCTGGGTAGCTCTCCAGGACTTAGTCTTCTGCTTTCTAGCTATTGCACAGCTCGCTCCTAAAGCTCCTGTTGACCGGTGCGAGACAGAGAAACTGAGGGCAGCCTTCTTTGCAGTTCCCTTGGAAATGAGGTGAGCAAGGTATAGAAAGACCACCAGGGCAAATGGCGACTGCAGACGTCCTTCTGATCCCCTGAGAGTGGGGACAGGGATATACTGGGGTGGGGGATAGTTTTCAGGAACTCCTGTGTCAGACCCAGGCTGTAAGGCTGTGACTCACACTGACTTATGAAATCAGCTTCCCGGCCGGGCACGGTGGCTCACACCTGCAATCCCAGCACTTTGTGAGGCCAAGGTGGGCGGATCACTTGAGGTCAGGAGTTCAAGACCAGCCTGGCCAACATGGTGAAACCCCGTTTCTACTAAAAATACAAAAGTTAGCTGGGCATGGTGGCGTGTGCCTGTAGTCCCAGCTACTCGGGAGGCTGAGGCAGGAGAATTGCTTGAACCCAGAAGGCAGAAGTTGCAGTGAGCCGAGATCGTGCCATTGCAGTCCAGCCTGAGTGACAGAGTGAGACTCTGCCTCAAAAAAAAAAAAAGAAAATCAGTTTCTGCTATGCAAAGGCCTGTGACCGTCCCCTACCCTGGATGCCAGGAGATCATGCCACTATGGCCCCTGCTTTGCTTTAACAGCAGATACTGTTCTGAATGTCAGGAGTGCCAGAATAGTTGGTTTCATTTGAAATACTGTAGGGCCTGTGGCTTTGGTTTTGTTGCTAAGCACGTGTGGTTGAGGCAGGTGATTGAGTTAGTGGAGCAGCAGGGAGACATTTGGAACGTGCGTAGTCGCAGAGAGGAGCAGCTCTTGGATGAAAGGCAACTCCTGCATGGTGGACAGTCCACACATGCATCATCTGGAGGCTCATGAATCATTTAGGAGGCCCCAGATCTACCCAGTGGGGACTTTTGTGTGTGTGTGTGTCTCTCTCTCTCTCTCTCTGTTTATTGATGTGTTTTTGTTTCCCTCTGCTGCTTCCTCTTCCTGAACTCTCCAACCCCTGCGTCCCCAGAACGGCGCTTCCTTTCCTCCTCTGTGCACTGGGATTACTTGGGAACTCGCTCTGCCCCCCACTGCAGAGCGGGTGGGCACAGCCCATCTGCTTAGGGGACTAATCCCCCAGGCAGCTCAGCCTCCTGTGGGACAGGTGTTGGTCCAGTCTCTCCTTTCCTTGCTCCCCTGCTCTTCCTGCAGAGGGTCCTTCCTGGTGCTGCTCCTGAGGGAATGTTTCCGAGACCTGAGCTGGCTAGCGCTCATCCACAGCATTCGTGGGGAGGCAGGGCTGCTGGTGACTAGTATCGTTCCAAAGACCCCGTTTTTCTGGGCCATGCACATCACTGAGGTATGGACTTGTTGGTGGCCCCCTCAGGCTCCTGTGCCTTCCTGCATGGCCTCCCTGGGGTGGGCACATTGACAGAGCCGGTCAGTGGTGAGGATGCTGGTGGTAACTACAGACTCATCCCATGGTTCAGTCTCGTTCTGTTTCCCACCTCATACCTGATTCCCTTGGGACAGATTAGCGGTGCTAACATAACAAGTGACATCTGTAGAGGCAGACTTGTAATGCAGTGCAGGCAGTGGGGCTGTTGTGTTTTGCACCCCACAGGCTCTGCACCAGAACATGCAGGCGCTGTTCAGCACCCTGGCTCAGGCGGAGGAGCAGCAGCCCTACCTGAAGGAGTCCGCCGTGCAGCGTGGGACCCGATGTCTGGCAGAGTACCACCTGGGGGATTATGGCCGTGCCTGGAACAGGTGTGTGCCCGGGCATGGGTAGAGCCTAGGGGAGAGGCCTGCGGGGAGAGTGCTGCCTCCTCGAGTTTCCTTCCTTTGGGCTCTGGTTTTTTCCCTGCAGTTTCTTCTCTCAAAGTCATCGTTGTTTACCATCATTTCCCCACTCAAGGATTGGGGAGAAAGAACAAACTCGCTCTTCTTCCCTCCTCCCTCCACTTTCACACCCACTTTGCTGAGGACTGCCTTGCATGGCACTGGGGGGAATGATTTTCCTTTGTCTTTCCCCTTTCCTCTGGCCAGGTGTTGGGTGCTGGACAGGGTGAACACCTGGGCTGTGGTCATGTTCATTGATTTTGGGCAGTTGGCCACCGTCCCTGTGCAGTTACTGCGCAGCCTGGACAGCGACGACTTCTGGACCATCCCACCCCTGACTCAGCCATTCATGCTGGAGAAAGGTGAGATATTCTGCCCTCCTCCTGAGGCTTTCGGGACAGGAGATGCCATGCCTGCTTCTGGGACCTGAATGGGGAACAGCATAGTGGGCGGCCAAGGTGCTTCAGTCTCTCTTTCCACCCAACCCCGATTTTCAGCATCTGACCCCAGCAAAGCTGCTTCTCCAGTATTGGTTTTCATCCCTGGGCTCTGGAGCCCCAAGATCCCAGGAGGGACCTCAGATGCTGTCCAAAAGCTGAGTTCTCTGGGAGGGGAGAGAAGAGCGTGGATTTCCCACCCTCCTTCCACCAGAGCTGCTCAGCTTTCATCTGTTTTCCACACTTTGCATGTTGCTTCAGATTCACTGGAAAAAGGATTCTGCCGTAGAAGGAAACTAGCCCTTGGATGTGTCATAGAGGCCAGAGCACTGCACTCAGGGTCTTCTCTTAATGTGGTTCATTTAGCCTCAGACACCTGTGGGTTTCCCCATAGGTGGAAATGGAGAGGCCCCTTCTTTTTCTTTTTTTTTTTTGTTTGAGACAGTGTCTCACTCTATTGCCAGACTGGAGTGCAGTGGCGCAATCCCGGCTCACTGCAACTTCCATTTTCTGGTTTCAAGCAATTCTGCCTCAGCCTCCCGAGTAGCTGGGACCACAGGCATGCACCACCATGCCCGGCTAATTTTTTTGTATTTTTTAGTAGAGACAGGGTTTCACCATGTTAACCAGGGTGGTCTCGATCTGCTGACCTCGTGATCCACCCGCCTCGGCCTCCCAAAGTGCTGGGATTACAGGCGTGAGCTTTTTTTGTATTTTTTAGTAGAGACAGGGTTTCACCATGTTGGTCAGTGTGGTCTCAATCTCTTGACCGCATGATCCGCCCTCCTTGGCCTCCCAAAGCGCTGGGACTACAGGTGTCAGGAACTGCATCTGGCCCAAGGCCCTTTCGTAAGATCAAAGTCAGGTGAAATGTAAAAGGATAAAAGAATGCTTTAGGGAGCAGTCAGAAGTGGAGGGGAAGAAGCATACATACCCAGAAAGTAAGATGGAAAAGTCCTTTTTTTTTAGAGGCAGGGTCTCACTCTGTTGCCCAGGATGGAGTGCAGTGGTACAATCATAACTCACTGTAGCCTCAAACTCCTGGGCTCAAGCGATCCTCCCACCTTGGCCTCTCAAAGTGCTGGGATTACAGGCATGAGCTTCCACGCTTGGCTGAGATGGAAACATTTACAAATAAGTCTTTAAAGATGGAAAGGCATTTCCCGAAAGCACAGGGCCAGAGCTTCCTGGGAGGCTGGTGGGGTTTGTACCCAGTGGGCAGGGAGCACCACCCAGAGGTTGTCCTGAGTCATTGCATGAAGAGGGTCCCTGCTGCCCAGCCTGCAAACAGCCAGGCATCAGGAGCTACTTCAGGTGACCTAGGGAAGAGGAGCTTCCTGTCTCAAAGTGCAGCTTCCAGCCTGTCAGAAGGACCAGAGTCCCCAAACCAGAGATAAGTCAGACAAGTGTTCAGTTTTCCTCCCTTTATGGATGAGGAAATACGGCTCAGAAAAGAACTGAAGTCATATTTATAATAGCAAGAAAATGGCGTAGCTGTGGATGAAACCTAGGTCTGCCTCTTGGTGATTCAGTTTTATGCATACAAACAGTCCCAGAGTTTGGGGGATCTGGTGGGATGGTGGGAGTTGCATAGGGGACAAGGTCCTGAGGAAAGCTGGGTTTTTGATGGGCTCCCTGCGCTTCCCCTTTCCAGCCATGTGAGAGTGCTTGCTTCTCATGGTGAAAACTCCGCTTTTAACCTTCCTCTCTCCAGCTGAAACTCTCAGAGCAAAGTTGAGTGAACATGATTTTGTCCCCACTAGAATTTCTCATTAAAAATCCCAGATCCCTGTAATTATTTTAACAAGTGCCTCCTCCCTTTATCTGCTGTTATTTTGCCTTCCCCCCATGCTGCCTTTTCAGCATTTATCATCTCACTTGATCCTGGCAGCAGGGATTTAGCAGGAACTAGCAGAGACTTGCTGGTTGGAGCTGGCTGGCAGCTAGAGCACTTGCCCTGCAGCCCCCGCCTTTTGCTTCCCTCCTTTGCTCCTCCTGCCCAGCCCAGTGCCACTGAGGTTTTGTTGTTGTGTCTTGTTTTGCAGACATTTTGAGTTCGTATGAGGTTGTCCATCGAATCCTCAAAGGGAAAATCACTGGTGCTTTGAACTCGGAGGTAACTGCCTCTGCATCTAACTTGGCTGTTCTCCCTCCACTCCTGCCCTTGGGGTCTCTGCAGCGGCTGCTGCCTAGGCCTGGATACAGTATTTAACTGGCATTCTCTTCGATCAAACAAGCTGGTTTTCTGAGGGGTTGGGTGAACTGGCTGTGTGGGCCTTCCTTCCCATCAAGGTTTCTCTTTCTCTTCCAGTCGCACATCCTAAAGTTTGAAGAGTCTAAATAATGGGGCTCCCCTCAGCATGTTCCCTCTCCTGTGTGCCACGGATCCAGAGGCTGCCCGCCCTGCCCTCTTGTACCCCTTTAACCCTTGAGGCCTGGGCGGTGAAAAAGGCCAGACTCTGCCCGGGATTGATTTCCATTTTGCTTTTACTCCCAGCTCACCTCTCAAAAGAGAGTGAAGTCTCATTTGTCATGTGTCTTCAGTTCCCCAACTTGGCATGAACATTTGAACCCAACTTAGGAAGCTGCCATTAGGTTGAAAGCCTGAGGCAGCTGGGATGTTCTTTCCTGTTTCTCTTCTCTGCACCCCAGAGCATGATATAGGCAGTCCTAACAGATTGTGGATAATGGAGAAGCCCTCTGCTAGTTTTCCTGGCCTTCCATGTAGAATAGGTAGAGTAACATTTAACCAGTGAGCAAATAAATGTTGGCATGTTTCATGAGTTTGGAGTGATTGATATTTCTTTCCAGCCACCCTTCCACTGCCCTGCTCTGCCCTCTAAAACTGCTACAGTGAGATTAGAGCCTGCCCATGTGGGCTCTGGGCCATGCAAACCCTGCCTGGGATGTAGATACATGTTTAAAGTGTAATGACCTGAGTTCGTTTCATCTCTCCTTGCCTTCTAAGTGGAGAGAAGAAAATTGTTTCACGATGATATGGTCTTGATTCTTTTTTATACTTTGTACTTTAATAGAACCCTAAACTTAAGGTCATAAAAGGGAGTGCTGGGTTTGGCAAGAAAAATGGAAGATTCTCTTAGAGTTGGTATTCTCCAGCTCATAGGAGCAGGCATTTTCCTCTACGTCATGTGAACGTGAACCTCACTATTTCTTCAAATAATTTTATTAGAGCCAAACTATTTAAATAATTTTATTTGTTTCATCCTTTGGTAGATGAGAAAAATACATTACAAAATACATTATACAGAAGACAGCTCACAGTACACATTACTAAAAACACAATCTACATTCCAGCCAGGGCTGGTGTTAAGTTCAGAAGAAAGCCACAGAGGCCTTGGAAACCAGATTTCAGCTCTATGGAATGAATTTTCCCCTTGTGTCCCGTCTTTATCTCAACCTCAGCATATATTATTAGCACCCCTAATTAGGTGGGTGTGGGTAGTTAGAGCAGCATTGAGTGGGACTGGTGGACTCTCCACCTAAAGCAGCAAACATTAAAGTCCCTCAAAAGAAAAGGGGTGGGGTGGGGGCAGAATGACAATGTGAACATTGCTGTGTCTCAAAGCATTGCAGAACTCCTAGCATCCTACAGTTCTCAGGCAGCTGTCCCAAGTCTGCGTTTTTTGAGACTTGGGTCTTCACTTAGCCATCCTTGGCCTCTGTCATTTCAGTCTTTGAGAGCTGCTGGCATCGTAGGTCCTAAGAGGCTGTCTCAGTCCCAAAGCAAGCTTACAGACAAAGAGATGCAGGCAGCACCCGCCTGATGCAAAGTCATGCCCAAACTTTTACAACAGCAAATACATACAACACAGCATTGACAGTTCCATCTCAGCACAGACTCCCCACCTCACCTTCCCTCCCTGGCAGGCAGTTCCTGAGCCTGGGGTAAGGACACAGGTGTATAGAACAACCCCCCCTTAAAAAGCTAACCCTTTTGGGAATGGCTTGAAAGAATCTCGTTTTCCAAGCCAAGCAACTTCAGAGCTATGCCTGTTCTTTTCGACAAAACCAAATGAAGCAAGAGAGAGGAAGGTGAGCAGAGCTTACCAATGATCACCATCCGGTGCTGGTTAGAAGCCACTTTCCAGGAGAGGAACCAATGAACAGTGGAGTTGCAGCCACACAGCTGAGATCAGAAAAGACCACATACACACTTGGAGACTGTGTCCCCAATCCCCACTCAATTCATTCAAAAGGAATTCTACAAAGCAGCCTCTTGAGCCTTATTTTCTTTTTCTTAGAAATTTGAAAACATCTGTGACTAGAAAAGTAGTCCTAAGAATTAACACCATCGTTTCAGCCTACTACATTGTAGCTTAGCAGGCCAGGCTCTGCATTCCAAGGGGGCAAGTGCTGGTTGCTCCAGAGGCCTTGAGGTGAAATCTAGGGGCGGACCAGGTGTGCTTCAGCTCCATGTTTCTCTTGCTTTAGCAGCAAAACGCAGCCTTTCCTCTCTGCCAAAGCAACAGTGGACTCGTACCCCTCCCCACCTCCCAAGTAGTTCAGGGGATGGGGTGGGATGTGCGAATAAAAAGAAAGATGAGTCAAGACCAGCATCTTCAAATTAACAAACTGTAATTGTTTTCCCAAAGATACATTTTTTTCATACACATCCATCATACACTGTAACCAAAAAAAGCAGTGTACATGAAATAAGAGAAAATAAATTAAAAATCCATAGCATAGGTAAGGAGGCTCTAGTCTGGAGCACAGCTGAGTTTCCAGCAATATAAGGAGGCTCGAAAGTTTCTTTTATAAGAATGCCTGCTAGCAAGGGTTCCAGCAAGGTGGTTGGTTGGTCTGTAAGTCAGTCTTGAGTACTTGAAACAGTTCTGTGTTTGTTTGTTTGTTTTCCTTAGCGTTTAGAATAGCCATCATTGTCCTGCAATAGGCAGAGCTATCACGTCCAGGAAAAATGAGGGAGGGAACCACAGAGGCAGCGTGAGATCCAAATACAGCATTCAAAGGTAATTGGTCCAGTGGTGCCTGGGGAGGGAGGAAGGGTGATACTCCAGGGTTAGCCATCTTCCTTTGGGGGTGTGTACCAGCCTGCAAAGAAATGGAACCGTCAGTGAGGTGGAGGTTCAGGCCCACCCTCCCCTGCCCCAATCTCTGAAGACGTCTCCAGTGTCAGAGGTGAGAGGATATGGGGAAAGGCTACGTGGTGTGGGGAGAGGTGTATGGGAAGCTGAGAACCTGCACACCTGGAGATGAGAAAGAAAGGGGCATGATGTGCCCAACCTGAGATGATGGGAGAGTTAGATGAGCTTTTCAAAGGGTGGCCGAGGAGCTTATTGGCCAAGCTTGTCGGTGATATGATCATTTTGGTGTGTTTCTGGAAGAGGCTGTGAATGTCAGCCACTGCCAGTCCCTCCTGGGAGAACTGGGTCAGGTACTGTGTTAATGGGTGGTAAGTATCAGAAACCAAAAGAAGGGGTTCTTGCTCTGGCTGGAAGTGAAAACCTGGGCGTGGCAAGTGTCCGAATCTCCCGAGTCCTGGCTTTAGCCTCACCGTTTTTTTCGTGGATCTGCACCAAGGACTTGTAGGACTGCTGTGCTCTTGTCAGACTGTATTGAGACTGGGGAGAGGAAGCCAACACATCAGGCCATGGCCAGCTGTGGCCTGCCAGCTGTGGCCTGCGAGCTGCCCCTCACCTTCTGCAGGCTGTCACCCAGAGTCCCTGGAGTCCTGGCTCCCAGCACTGTGGTCTAGTAAAACCCTTAAGTACCTTCCACTTAGGAGGTCCCTTGGGGTCATAATCCCATAGTCTTCCTTTTCCAGACCCACAACCTCCCAAAAGTCCTAGGGGTGCCCCTAGGGGCCAAACAGTTGTTCCACCGTGGGCACCCTAGGCCCTCATCCAGTGCCACCAGCCCAGGGGCCTTAGGCTATCCTTCTTGTAAAGGCGGCAGCCGTGGCCTGCTAGCGGCCCCAAGTACACTTGGCTCCACCCAGCCCCACCGGCCCCAGGCCCAGGATCCTTACTTTGTTGGCTCCAAACTGCACTCGTGCTTTCCCCTTCACCAGTGTGGCACTGATCTGCATGATCACTGACTCTATGGAGTAGGCACTGCTCCAGCCCTGGGTGATGGGAGGGACAAAGCAAGCAGGTCCAGATGGAGCTTCCAGAGAAGGCTCACGCATGTCCTCCTGGCAATCAGCTGGGTATATAGGAGGGCCCTTGCCCTTTGCTCCTAGCACTGCCACCTGTCTGTCTAGGTCAGTGGGTGCAGACCCAGCCCAGCAGAATGAAAGGGCCACATCAATACCTATCAGCCAGCCCGCAGGGGTTTGTGCCGTGAAGCTCAGCCAACCCCCGCCCAGGCCGGCCTGGCCAAGGAGAGATGGGCTCACCTGTTTGGTGAGAAGTTCCATGCAGATGGCCCCTCCGCCCAGAACATACCTGCATGAGAAAGGTTAGTCAGCTATGCCTGACACAAGCTCCAAGTCCCTTCCCCACCCTCAGCCAGAAGAGATGCCCTCGTCTGCATGCCAGCCACTCACCCTCCAGAGAGGACTGGAGACACAACCCTGACAAATGGTGGGTCAAAGGGAAAGTTATCCTGAGAGAGAGAGAGAGAGAGAGACAGAGAGAGGGATGACAGTCAGGGGAGGGAGGCCAGCATCCTCCATAGGACTGTCAGGCAGACGGCCAGAGGGAGAGACTGGTAAGGAAAAGCCTTACTTTAAAGGAAAAGTTAAGTAGGATGAAGTCGGCTCCTTCTTTCTCTTTGAGGATCTGGAGATCGTTGTGCAAAGCGCTGTCCTGGTCAACTCTATGAAGCAACAAGCCTGGGCTCAGCTGACTGGGTCCAGCTCAGGAGTTTCATAAGGGCCCTACCCTGGCTAGCAGCTGACCACCAAACTACTGCCCACACCCGCTACGGGACCCTGAACCAAAATGCTGGATGGGGCTGCCCTGGAGATCCCACCACAATAGCCCCACTCACACTCCTCCTCAACTTCCTCTCCAATCCCAGAGTCCCCACTCACTTGAGGAGTTTGACATTCCAATCATACAGACTGTCATTCACGAGTTCGACTGCATAGTTTCCTGGAAGGAGGAAAAAGATAGGTGTTAGTAGGATGGTCCAGGTGGTGAGTGGTCTCTAATGCAGATTCCTTTTCCAGACTGAGAGAAAAAGATCAACAGCTCTAGGGTGACCCAGATGGACATGTAACCAAGCCACTGGCTGGAAGAGCTCCACTCTCCTTGGCCTGAAAAGTTCATAAGCACTCCTGGATCCGAGGACCTCTTGGGGCCCCATGACACCAAACCCCTCTTTATGGGTGACTCCTGTGCAGGCCCCTCTCTGGCGCAAACTCACCACCTTTGAAACTCTGTGATCGGTATATATCCCTGAGCTCCTTCATCAGCCGGTCAGTGGCCTGCACCGAGCCAGACACTGCACCCTGTGAGGGAGGGATGACAGGAACATTCCTTGGTCGTGTGGGGTGTAAACGCATGTTAGACCTTAGGGGCAGTCTGGCAGCTTACCTAGGATTTAGGGAAGGATTAGGCATACCCCCAAAAAGGAGTGTGCTCTCCATACTGTGATGCGACAGCCTACTGCTTCCCAGCCATTTCCCACCAACCCCCTCACCAGCCTCTCCCTAGAAGGCACGTACATTTAAGTAATCTTGCCTCTGGTTCTTTTTAATTTTCTCTAGGATGGCCAGGTTTTCTTTTCCAATGCCATCATCTTCAGATTTCTTGCCCTCAGCTGGCTCTTCCTCTTTCATTTCATAGTGATCTAAGTCTTCTGTGTCCTGGGGGAGGGGTTGGGTGGGAGTGAAATGAAAAGGAAAAAATTCAGGTTAGAGAATGGCCATCCCCTTCCCAGTCCCATCTGGCAAAGAGCCAAAACTTAAGGTGCAGCAGTGCATCTGGCAGTCTCATACACACAGCACACGTCCCATTTTTAGAACAATTTTGAGCCCTATTCCCTCCACAATCTAAAGGATGAGGCAAATCTCTTCTTCAGCTCTCAAGCTACAGCAAGAACTTAGGGAGCAAGCAGAGCTGCAGCTGAGACCAAGGCAGGGACTTGGCCCTTTTGTTTTCTAGACTGACCCTGTTCCAACTGTTCCTAAACCTTGGCAGCAGAAACTCTTCCCTAATTCCTAGCAGAAATGACTCGGGCCTGACCCTGTGACTCAAAGCTCATATTTCACCGGGTGACTATTGCACCTGGGAGTTCCCAGGGCCCCAAGCCCAAAGGAGAAACCTGGATCATTAAATCTCCTCTCCTCGCTACAAATCTGTTTTTTGAGGGCATGCACAGCATGAATCGTGTATGCAGAGGCACCCACTGCCAGATGGAAATAAGAAAGGACGTCCAGAGATATGTGGAAGAGGTCAAGAACAGAGTTAGCCCCTTACTCATCCCGCTTTAAGTAAGCAAGCAGCTAACTCACTGAGCATGGGGGAGGAGACCATATCTAGGATTCAGCCCCTCAGGCAGATGTTGGGGGTATGGCCCAGAGGGTTGTCCAATGTCTGGGAGGAGTAAATTTCATGTGTCATCAGCCCCTGGCCAGTCTCAAGACCCTTAATGGGTTCTAGAACCTGGGAAATTAATCCAATGCTAGGAAATAAAAGTAATCAGAGTGATCTCCCCATTTCTGGCAGGATATACTAACCTAATTATCACACTGGCAGGTAAGGTCTACTGAGTGTTTATGACGTGGCAGGTTCTGTCCTAGGTGCCGCACATGCCAACTCATTTAATTCTTTCAACCACCACATCATTATTCTATCAGTATCCATGTTACAGATGCGGAAGCCGAGGTCTATTGAGGTTAATTATCAAGCCCAAAGTCACAGAACTCTTAACAGAGCTAAGATTCAATCAAGTTCTGTCTAGCTCTAAAGCTCAAATTCCTAACCATGATTTTCTATTCTGTACAAGTACGTTTTTAGGGAATATATGAGATAGTTTAGTACTTATCGTGTATCATCTGAAGTATTTTATGTATAATACCTCGCTTAATCTCAAGATAACCATATGTATTAGATATTATAATCCTACTTTATAGATAATAAAACTAGGTAAGTGAGATTACATAAAATTCTTCAGTTAGGATAGCTGGGATGCAAACATAGGTTTGTTGGGACTCCAAAGCCATTTAAAATTAACTTGTCAAGTATTTGGTTTTAAATTGCTTTGCACCTGTCTTCAGTGGCTGGATATGGGTGCCCTGTCTCCTCTACTACACTGGCTGTTCCTCCAGGTCAGTCAATCTGTCTTTATTCCTTTGATATTTTTCTCTCTCCATTTCTGGACTGGAGTTCTGGATAATGGGTGATCAACGGTGCTGACTGAAAGAGCTTCCAGCCCATGCCACCTCAGGAGGCAAGCCTACCTCAGGCATCTCCTCGTCTTCATCTTCTGAAGACACGTCTTCCTGTGTGCACTGCAGCGGGAAGGGGAAAGATGGAGATCAGAGCCCCAGTGGCTTGCTAGAATGCAGCCTCCAACCTACTCCCCTGAGCCCCCAGGTCTGGAAGCTGTGCACCTCCCTGTAATGCTGCCAGTCCCTCCACCAGTCAGATCTGAGTGGAAGCAACAGCCCAGGGAATGGCTTTGCTACCAGCCCATTATTTTTCACCTATCACTGCCAAAGAATAAAAGAAAAGCAAAATGGCTATCTCTGTCACCCACCTCATAAATCTCAGTTTAATTTTCCTAAGAACCCCTCCTTTACTTGATCTTCTTTAGACTGATACTGCATTTGTGGTTCTCACCAAGGAGCCTAGGTCCCCAGTGGCCACCAACTGCTACTGCTAAAATAATAGTAAAAATTCCCCTCTCCCTTTCAACATTTGGGATGCTGCCCATGAGAGTGAGTTTTCATATGAGAGAGAAAGCTACTAGTGCCCCACTTAGCAAGAGAAGATTCCCATCTGGAGAAGAGCGAGGGTGAGAGTCACAAGACATGTATGTGTTCGGAAGCCGGTGGGCATGGAGAGAAACTACTGCAGATTTGTCTCAATTATTTACTGAGTACTCTCTGTGGGGCAACTCTGCACAACAGGGCCCACCCTCAGCTGCTCACCTGCTCTGCTGGCAAGGGTTGATCCAGCATCTCCACATCTGGATGCTGAGGGAGGTTATAGAGTTTACACAGGTCGGAGATGATCCTCTTCAGATGCTGTAATAGCTACAGGTAGGGAACACAGAGACATCAAATACTCCCTTCCCCACTCCAATCTGGACAAGTGCATGGACGAGCTCTTAGCTTGGGCCCCAAACCAATACCTAGTTCTCTAAGCCTTATGGGCCATGTGGCTATGGGAATGAGTCTCCTGATGGACCAATCCCAGGGCTGGTGCAGGGTCTCCCTCTGGCTTCAGTAAGCAACTCCCCTGGGAGGTCAGCCCCTAAATGTTTAGCTGCCTGTACCGTCCACTTTTCAGGATCCCTTTCATAGGACGCCTTTGTGACATGAGCCTCACAGTAATAAAATGCACCCCTACCCTGTGGCCCCCTCACCAGAGTATTCCCTTTCTTTATATCCACCAGCCTCTCCAAGACAGCAGCCAAGTTAGGGTCATCCGACTCCACTGACCAGATGGGGGGCACAGCAGGGTATGACTCCTGAGGGGAAAAGAGCAACAAAAGCAATCAAAATGGGTGACTTGGGGAAAAAGCCAGATTTTGCCTGCCCTCTTCCCCCCAAGACTTCTAGCCCCTTTGCTTCCCACCCCACCCCCAAAAACACATAAATCCCCAATTCAGGTCAGCATCTAACCAAGCACTTTCACAACAAATCCTAAACTGGAAAACAAAACCAGTCTTTGGGAGGACTCTTTCCAAGAAGCAGGCTGGGACCTTTTCTTTCTTTCCTCAAGAGTACAAACCAGAAAACCCGGCACAGCCAAACTTAGCTAACAGCGAGGGGGAACTTCTGATCTCCTGCACTGCCTATACAAGTTCCAGACTTCAGGTTCTCCCTGTACCCAGAACAGAGTCCTCCAAGCTCGCTTTTCAAACTCCAGAATCAGTTGAGGAAGGGATCACCTCATCACAATCACACTGAAGTGAAAAAAGCAGAGTTCAGTAGGGAAAGAAGTATAAAAGCTCGACTGTATCTCTAGAACCCAAGAGTAAAAGGGTACTGGCAAGAATCTCTCCACACCACTCCCAGAAGAACCCCTCAAAGATCAATTCTCCCCACCTCTCCCTTGGGAACCTGCCACCCTCTCAGTCCAGGCGTGGGCTGTAGGGCTCCACATGGCAGCCTGGGAGAAAGAAGCCTACGCTGCTGACATTCCCAGCATTCCTGAGCCACGGTGCCAAATGCAGCCTGACCAGACTCCCCCTCTGCCCAAACCAAGGGGGCTAGTTTAGGCCAAGTCTCCTTTATAGGGACCAAGGGGCATCTGGCTGAGGACCCCCTAAATTTAACTTCCTGCCAGAGACAAAGGCAGTAAATGGCCTCAGGCAACAGAAAGCAGCTGGATGGGGGGCAAACCTACCCTTAAGGAATTAGAAGCTTAATTCAAGAACAAAATTAACTCTTGAGGTTCCTTATCCACCTCTACTGGGTATCTCAGCACTGCCATGGCTCTAATCCTCAATGCTGGAGGAAAAATAATTATCAAAGATGCCCAAGTCTTCACTTGACTAAGCCACTCCTAGCCCTTCAATTCTAACTTTTTAGCAGGAAAGACGAAAGGAAATGAGAGAAATGGTTTGAGTGGGGTATGAAATGGTATGAGTTTTGGTGGGGCACCAATCAATCCAAACTGAGGCTTACCTCACCAAACCTTGACCCGGTTTGATTGAGAAAAGGGACAGAAAACACCATGTCAGTTGAATTTAGGCCCCCAAGTACCAGAGAATTCACAACTCTGCCTTTCCTCAGGCTACTCGGATTCGGTCTGCCTGCTTGGATAAAGTACTGTCTGCTAGCATTTCAGCTACTGCTCCGGGTAGAGAGAATACCATCACAGCAGGTAACATCAACCAATGTAAGTGCTATACCATGCAATACCAGACATTCCCAAATTAGCAGAAGCCAGTTCTCCATTCAAGGGATGTCTGAGGGTAGACCAGGCAGGAGACAAGTAAGGTGTATGCCTAAGATGGAATAACCCTCACAGGGGAGAAATGCAACTGTTACTGCTCAGAAAAAATGAGGGTGGCCCTGGCACATCACATCACTATCATTACCAGGAAAGGCAACAACCCACGGCAACTGGACATCCACAGGGAACAGGGAGGGGAGTGGCACAACTGCTACCAACCGAGGCAAAAAGAGCAGAGTTAGAGGTTACACCAGAAAGAGGGAATCCAGAGAAAGAGGAGGAGTCAGTGAGCTGCAAACTATGACTTGGTGAAGTTCAGAGAGCAAGAGGGGCTCCATGAGGGATGCCTAGGCGAGGATCCCACAGGTGGCAACGTCCTAAGTCAGAGGTAATACTGAGAAGGGGGCATCACCGAAATGTGCAGAGAGTTCCAGGCCAGGGCTTTCCAGCTGGGGTCAGTGCCGAGGCCTAAAACCTTGAAATAGGAGTAAGGGGAAGAAAGGCGCATTCCTAGGTGGCAAGTTAAAGTTGTGGAAGAGTAGCCAAAAAAGCCAAAATAATGAACCTTGGGATGTGGGTGGGTTCGTGGAAATGGGTAGTCTAGGCGCCATATGTCGGGGTGTCCCTCGCTATCGGGGTCAATGGTAGAGATTCTGGGGGCACCGCAGAACCTCAAGCAGCAGAAACAAGTGTAACCTGGAGAGAAAGAGCTGAGCCCTGAGAGGGGCTTCGGCCTCCCAGGTCCTTCGAGAGCAAAAAGCTGGATGTAGTGATCCTGGGTCCCTGACAAGAGGCCCCCACAGAAGCGCAAGCGAGAGAGTCCTCACCGTGATGTTGCAGTGGATGCGGACAGGATCCCCAGGCACCGATCCCCGTTGGGGTAGATGCGGTCCGGGCGCGGCCCCCGCCCCGGCCCCTCCGGCCCCAGCCAGCAGGAACTCGCAGCTCAGCTCGTCCAGGCAAGCGCTGGCAATGCGGAAGCGCTCGTGGCCGCGGTGGAAGATGGACTCGAGCAGCTTCAGCTCTCGCCTCAGGCAGGGCCCCGGCCCCGGGCCCCCCCCCGGGCCGCCCCCGGCCCCCGGCGCCGCCCCCTGGCCCCCCAGCTGCTGCCCCGGCCCCGGCTGCTGCTGCCCCTGCGGCTGCGGCTGCTGCATCCTCCGCTCCGCTCCGCTCCGGGGCCGGCGGGCCGGGAGCCTCCGGCCTCCGCTCCGGGCTCCGCCGCCGCCGCCGCCGCCGCGGTCCGCACTTCCTGATCCCCCCTTCGCCAAGATGGCGCCGCCGCCACCTCCGGGACAGGCCCCCCCGCTCCGCTCACTGGCCCCCTCCAGCCGCCGGAAGCCGCGCGCCCCTCCTCCTCCTCCACCTCCTCCTCCTCCTCCTCGGCGGCCCCGCCTCCGTCCCCCTCACGTGACTTCCCTGCTCTGGCCTCCTCCACGTGATCTCTCCGTCTTTCCCGCCCCCCTGTTCTCGCCTGCCACCCTCCACATGTGACCCGGGGCTTGGGGCTTGCCTCTATGTGAGCGCCTCAGTGCGTGTTTGCGTACGTCGTGCGTGCTTGCGCGCGACGCCCCTTCGTCGGCGCTCCCCTCTCACGTGACCTAGCGCCGCGTGCTCCCAGGGGCTACCCGCGCAGGACGCTGTTTCCTGCGCCGGGCCCCGCTTCCCCCGCCCCCGAGCCGTGGCGAGTGTGCCCGGCACTCCATAGTCAGAGAAGAAAGAAGTGCAGTCTCCGCCGTGCAATCTTTATCCTGCGCCCCCGATGCTGGTCTACGGCGCAGGATCCCGGAGCCTGTGCTCCCCGTGGGGGTGGGCATACTGTATCTTCACCCTGAATGAGGGGCGTGTGGTCGGGGAAGGAGCCCGGGACCAGGATGCAAGAGGCGTAGATTCTCGTCTGAGCCCTGGCTCTGATGGCGTTTTGTGACCTTGGGTTAATCACTTTTCCGCCCAGTCTCAGTTTCCTCATCGTACAATGGCTCTCATGAGGACGATGCCTGTTTTTTCCTATTTCCAGGGAGGGATTCGATGAGAGGAGACCATGAAATGAGGAATAATAATGGATCACTGCTTTATTATGTATAAGCGGTAGTCAGTAGCTGGCCTTTGGCGCTTTTTAGACCCCATGAGTCTGGACGAGGCTGGGGGTTGGACAGCATGGACTTCCCCTACAGAGTCATGGAAGGAGTGCGGACTCGGGTAGACCCCATGCCCTGTCCTAGGCCTAAATGGCTAACACCTTGTCGCAGTGGTCCTGGCAGCTGCCGGGAATAGGTAGTGCCTCCAGACTCTCGGTAGGTGGCACTATCACAAAGGACAAAGCTGGCTGAAGCTACAGAAATCCCGAGCTGGCATTCCTTTGCCAAGGGCAGGTGTCATTAGCCTGTGGTAAGGCCTGCTCAGTTCTGCTCGGCCAACTCAGCCCTTAAACCACTGGCCAGATTGCCCCCTTTCTATCCCACTTGGACTAAAATGAGCTAGCCTTTGCTGGAAGGCTATTCACTTGTCTTTGCAGAAGCCTCCGTTGGCCAAGTTGGGGTATGGATAAAGATGATTACAGTCTGTTCCTGGTCCTATTTATCTCGTTTGGGTGGCCTGAACAGTTTGCTACATGTTGACTTTGTATATACAAGCTGATAGCATAAAAGTCTGTGGTAGGACTTCTGGTTTATTGTTTCCTGAGCCAGGGTGTTTGCAAATATTTAAAAAATATATATAAGACAGGGTCTTGCTTTCTCGTCCAGCCTGAAGTGCAGAGGTACAGGCTCAGTTCACTGCAGCCTCGACCTCCTGGGTTTAAGCTGTCCTCCCACCTCAGCCTCTCAAATAACTGGGACTACAGCTGCACACCACCATGGCCAGCTAATTTTTGTATTTTTTTGTAGAAAGGGGTCTTGCTATGTTGCCCAGGCTGGTCTCAAACTCATGGGCTCAAGTGATCCACCCATCTCAGCCTCCCAAAGTACTGGGATTATACATACGAGCCATTGTGCCCAGGTGCAAGTTTTGTTTTTTTTTTTTTTTTTTTTTTTAGACGGAATCTCGCACTCCACGCCAAGCTGGAGTGCAGTGGTGTGATCTTGGCTCACTGCAACCTCCGACCGCCTGGTTCAAGGGATTCTCCTGCCTCAGCCTCCCAAGTAGTTGGGATTACAGGTACGCACCACCACGCCCAGCGAATTTTTATATTTTTAGTAGAGACAGTGTTTCACCATGTTGGCCAGGATGGTCTCGATTTCCTGACCTCATGATCCACTTGCCTCAGCCTCCCAAAGTGTTGGGATTACAGGCATGAGCCACCGTGCCCGTCCAGTGCATGTATTTTTAAATCTCCCAACAGCATGGCAATATAAGTGTTTTTACCTGTTTACAAGTGGGGAAAAAGAGTGACTCTGCAAAGATATCCAGTCCGTAAGCAGAGTTCCTAGGTCTGTCTCCAAAGTCTATGCCCTTGTACCCCACTTGCCTTTTTAGTGCTTTGAACCCCAGTTCTGCCAACTATTAATGATGTAACTGTGGGCGAATTGCTTCGCTTGTTTGTGCCTCGGTTTCCACACCTGTAAAATGGAGATCATAATAGTACCTACTGTTAGGAAGATTATGTGAGAACACAACACACCTAAAGTGCGTAAATTAGTGCACATGAGAAGAGCACAAAAGGTTTTTTAAAAATCGGGCTCAGCATGGCTTGTATCTAGTGAAAGGGCAGAGGGTAGGAAATGAGTCCAGGGCTAGATTATGGAGATCACAGTACATTATTTGGGTTTTATTCAAAGCACAGTGGGAAACCCCTGGAGGATTTTAAGCAGGAAGTGGCATGAGCTGGGTTAAAAATTTAAAAGATCACTCTGGCTGTTCTGTGGAAAATGGATTGTAGGGATTTTAATTTTTCTGCAAAGGTCATTTGTTACAGGTGCCCATGTTTGGAGTAGAGTGAGCAACCTTCTCCTTTGACTTGCTCCCTGAGCATCAATTTCTGTCATTGGCTCAACAAATAGTGTCCTGAGCACTTGATCTTTGCAGGAATTGTAGAGGGCACTGGGGATGCAGAGATGAAGAAGATAATGGCCCCAGCCAGGTGCAGGGGCCAGGCCCAGGGAGGCCGAGGCAGGCAGATCATGAGGTCAGGAGTTTGAGACCAGCCTGGCCAGCATGGTGAAACCCTGTGTCTACTAAAAATAACAAAAATTAGCTGAGTATGGTGGCACACACCTGTAGTCGGAGGCTGGGGCAGGAGAATTGCTTGAACCTGGGAGGCAGAGGTTGCAGTGAGCCGAGATGGCACCACTGCACTCGAGTCTGAGCAACAGAGCAAGATTATGTCTCAAAAAAGAAGAAGAAGAAGAAGAAGAAGAAGAAGAAGAAGAAGAAGATAATGGCCCCTGTGGGAAGCTTTGGCATGATTTGTGGTACAGAGGAGAGGCTCCTTATAGGATAGCTCCTACTCATTACTTTTGTTGTATTCTTGCTCCACCCCTTACGGCCGAGGTGGGCAGATCACTTGAGGTCAGGAGTTTGAGACCAGCCTGGCCAATGTGGTGAAACTCCATCTCTACTAAAAATACAAAAATTAGCCAGGCATGGTGGCAGGTGCCTGTAGTCCCAGTTACCCAGGAGCCTGAGACTTGAGAATCACTTGAACCCAGGAGGCAGAGGTTGCAGCGAGCCAAGATGGCACCACTGCACTCCAGCCTGGGTGATAGTGTGAGACTCTGACTCAAAAAAGGAAAGGGACAAGAAGGGAAAGAGTTGTAGAGGTGTTGGTCATTGGTGCTGTTGCCCTAGACCCCAGGGTAATCCTGGTAATAGCAACACTTCTGGAAGTCAGTTTAGTAATTAATATTCAAAAAACATTAAAACTTTAACCCAGCAATTTTACTTGGAAAGAAAAGGTATGTGCACAGACTTGCCTAAAAGGGAACACTATATAGCTGTGAAAAATAGTTATCGAAAATACTTATTGGTATGGAGAGTTTGAGAAATAGTAAATAAAAAAGATGAGACTGAAGTGAACTGAAGATTTAAAAAATTTTAAAAAGAAAGGTGGTTACAAGGCTATATTACAGTATGCTCCATTAAAAAATATATGATTTAGTTATGTACCCAACAGAAATGCATATACAGTCATGTGTCAATTGACAATGGGATACATTCTCAAAAATGTGTCTCAGTGATTTTTTTGTTGTGTGAACATCATAGAGTGTATTTACACAATCCCAGGATGGTGTAGCTGCTACACACCTGGCCTGTAGGGTCTAGACTATGGCTCCTAGGCTACAAACTTGTACAGCATGTTATGCTGTACTCAATACAGTGACTGCATCCCCAGTGCCCACTGGAATTTCTGCCATTACTGTAGGCAGTTGAAACACAATGATATGTATTCGTGTATCTATCTAAATATAGGAAAGGTACAGCAAAAATATGGTGTTACAATTTTATGGGGACCACCTTTGTATTTTGCAATCTGCTGTTGACGGAGAAGTCATTACATGGTACATGACTGTATCTGTATACCAAAAGTGTGAACAAGAGTGTTCACCGCAGTGTGATTTTTAATAGTCCAACTAGGAAACAACCCAAATACCCATCAATGGTGAAATTGATAAATGACAGTATATTCATACACTGGAATAGTCCACAACAATAAAGATGAATGAACTACAACTATATTCAGCAGTGTTCATGATTCTAACATGCTTTAAAAAAAAAAAGCCTCTTTTTTTTTAAAAAAAAAAGCCTCTCCTCTGTACCACAAATCATGCCAAAGCTTCCCACAGGGGCCATTATCTTCTTCTTCTTCTTCTTTTTTTTTGAGACATAATCTTGCTCTGTTGCTCAGACTCGAGTGCAGTGGTGCCATCTCGGCTCACTGCAACCTCTGCCTCCCAGGTTCAAGCAATTCTCCTGCCCCAGCCTCCGACTACAGGTGTGTGCCACCATACTCAGCTAATTTTTGTTATTTTTAGTAAGCCAGGTGTGGTTGCTCCCACTTGTAATCCCAGTGCTTTGGGAGGCTGAGGCAGGTGGATCACCTGAGGTCAGGAGTTTGAGACCAGCCTGGCCAACATGGTGAAAACCTGTCTCTACTAAAAATTCAAAATAGTAGCCAGGCATGGTGGCATAGGCCTGTAATCCCAGCTACCCAGGAGGCTGGGGCAGAAGGATTGCTTGAACCTGGGAGGCAGAGGTTGCAATGAGCCGAGGTTGTGCCATTGCACTCCAGCCTGGGCAACAAGAGTGAAACTCCATCTCAAAAAAACAAAAAACAGACACAAAAGATTATGATTCCATTTATAAAAGTTAAGCAGGCAAAGTTGATCTATGCTATTAGAAGACCGTAGTTAATTTTACCTTCATTTTAAAAAAATTGTGATAAAATACACATAACATAAAATCTGATACTTTAAAGTGTACGACTCAGTGGCATTCAGCACATTCATAAGTTGTATAACCATTACCACTGTCTAGTTCCTGAACTTTTTTTTTTTTTTTTTTTTTTGAGATGGAGTTTCACTCTTATTACCCAGGCTGGAGTGCAATGGCGTGATCTCGGCTCACCGCAACCTCCGCCTCCTGGGTTCAGGCAATTCTGCCTCAGCCTCCTGAGTAGCTGGGATTACAGGCAGGCGCCACCATGCCCAGCTATTTTTTTGTATTTTAGTAGAGATGGGGGTTTCACCATGTTGACCAGGATGGTCTCGATCTCTTGACCTTGTGGTCCATCCGCCTCGGCCCCCCAAAGTGCTGGGTTCCTGAACTTTTAAGCAGTCACCACCCCCTTTCCTCCCTCCTCCCATGGTGTTACTTTTGTAGAAGAGAGAATAACTGCTGGAAGGGTCATCATGGGGACTTCTGGATGTTAGTTATGTGTGTTTCTGTCTTTCTTTTAATCTAAATGGTGGCCATATGGCTGTGTTTATGTTGTGAGATTTTATCTAGCTATACACTTGTATATACTTTGCTGTATGAAAGTTATATCTAAGTACACATAGATAAATTTGGAGGGGTGTGAATGTGAAATCTATTTGCTAACACTGATTTTTTCCTGGGAGGTAGGAGTATGAATCCATGTTGTACTTACTATGTTTTGCTGACTTGTTTTCCAATTGGCATTCATGAATACATGTATTACTTTTGTAATAAAATTTTAAAATGTAAAACCTATCTTTTTTTTTTTTTTTGAGATGGAGCTTCACTCTGTTGCCCAGGGTGGGAGTGTAGCGATGCGATCTTGGCTCACTGCAACTTCTGCCTCCCAGGTTCTAGCGGTTCTCCCTGCCTTAGCCTCCAGAGTAGCTGGGATTACAGGTGTGCACCACCACACCTGGCTAATGTTTTTATTTTTTAGTAGAGATGGGGTTTTGTCATGTTGGCCAGGCTGGTCTTGAATTTCTGACCTCAGGTGATTCTCCTGCCTCGGTCTCCCTAAGTGCTGGGATTACAGGTGTAAGCCACTACGCCCAGCCTAAAACATTTTAAATAAAGGACAATGACATTGATTTTAAGCCTTCCCCGCCCCACTGCCTTTTTTTTTTAGGCAGGGTCTGGCTCTGTTGACCAGGCTGGAGTTCAGTGACACTGCAACCTCCACCTTTTGGGCTCACGCTATCTTCCCTCCTCAGCCTCCTAAGTAGCTGGAACTACAGGCACATGCCACCATACCTGGCTATTTTTTTTTTTTTTTTAATTTTTTGTAGAAACAAGCTTTCACCATGTTGCCTAGGCTGATCTTGAACTTTTCAGCTCAATTCATCCACCTGCCTCAGCCTCCCAAAGCGCTGGGATTATAGGTTTGAGCCACCGCATTCTGCCAATTTTAAGCCTTTCAAGAGAAAACATTCCTTGTCATCAGAGGCAATGGGAGTGTCTCACCAAAACTTTGCCCAATTACTGTTTAGCCTCAGGATTGATACATCTACATCGTTCATCACCCTCTGTGGCTCTGGATCTGTCCACTCTTCCTGGCTTCCTTTCTTCTTGGTGGGTGTGGGAGGAGTACATGCAGTAGAGATGAGAAAGGTGTTCCAGACTCCTTGGACACTGGGTGGTTGTGCTTGGAAGACTCACTCCTTGCCAGGCTGGAAGTAAACTTGAAGCAGAAGCTGGGAGATTTGAGAAAAGAAGGTAGACAGGCCCGGCAGTTACATCGGCGAAAGCCAGAGGCTTTTAGCAAGCAAGTGACCCCCCAGTGTCTCATCCCATAAACAAGCAATCATGACAGAGATTTTCACATGAGAAGACTTTCACAGCCTTCTTCAATCATTCTGCATCCACCAAAAACTCCCTGTATCTCTTAAGAGTTTGTAATACCCGAGTGAGAGCGGTGGCTCACGCCTGTAATCTCAGCACTTTGGGAGGCTGAGGCAGGTGGATTACCTGAGGTTAGGAGTTCGAGAGCAGTCTGACCAACATGGTGAAACCCTGTCTCTATTAAAATAAAAAAATAGCTGGGCGTGGTGGCATGCACCTGTAGTCCCAGCTACTGGGGAGGCTCAGACAGGAGAATTGCTTGAACTTGGGTGGCAGAGGTTGCAGTGAGCCGACATTGCGCTACTGCACTCCAGCCTGGGTGACAGAGCAAGACTCCATCTCAAAAATAAATAAATAAATAAATAAAGAGTTTGTAATACCTTTAAGTCATCCTTGTCTTAATGACTTTCTCACGTTTCAAATCTCAATTTTCATCTTCATCCCTTCTAGGTTCTTAGACACTATTAACTTCTTCCTCTCTGCTTCCATAGCACTGATGTCTGTTAGAACAGCCACCACATTCTATAATATTTGCTGCCAAACTGTGATCTCCTTAATAGCTGAGACTCAGTCTTTCTGATTACTGCATCCTCAACACATATGGCCCACAACATATGTGGCAAACCACATATACCTAACAAATGTTGATCTAAATTGTTGAAGGAAGATCTTCCCACCTCCGATCCTTTCCTTAAGTAGAGGGACTACACACATTTCTTCCCTTTTTCTGAATGCTTTTCTTCACTCTTTTTCTTTGTTCCAAGATTTCTTCAGTTCTTAAGAGATTATTGTGTGCTTTCATATGCACATGGCTCGGAGCAAGTGCTGCAGCTTCATGCTCATTTCCATGTGCATCATGGGGTCTGTAGTCATCCTGCTTCTCCTCCAGTCCTCTTCTAGAGCTTTTCTGCTTCTTCCCTCAATTCCACCACCTGGGGACATGGTAAATAAGTTGCTTTTAGCTGAGCTTTTATTTACTTGTTTTTTTAGTTTTTGAAGTGGGGTCTTGCTTCATTGCCCAGGCTGGAGTACAATGGCGCGATCATGCCCTAACCTCCCTGGCTTAAGTGACCCTCCCATCTCAGCCTCTCGAGTAGCTCTCGAGTAGTTCATGCCTGAATTTTTTAAACTTTTCGTACACACCTGATGTTATTATGTTGCCCAGGCTGGTTTCAAACTCCTGGGCTCAAGTGATCCTTCGGCCTCAGTGTTTGTAAGTGCTGAGATTACAGGCGTGAGTCACCTGTCCTGGCCCCTAGCTGAGATTTTAGAGAGGAATTTTCCCCACACATTAAAAGATGTCAGTCCAGTACTAGCCCTTTTCCTTACCTGTTCAGCCCTTATAATAATATGCCAGACACCATGTTGATTCATAATCTAGAGAGGCAGCCACTGCCTCAGGTGGATTCATTTATTCACTGGACATGTTCTGGAAGCATATAACAAGGTAACTGATCTAGTCCTTGGTCAGGCGCATCTTCCTTGAGGAATTTACATTAATGCAAAATGTTCAGTTAAGTAGAAGGTGATTGGGGGAACATGGGTTATAAAAGAGTCAAAGAGAACTATGCATTTAAGTCCCTGAAGTGTGGGGGGATGGGATGGATAGGATGTTCAAGGATAGTTAGAATGTGAAGCTGGTGGTGGAGTGACCCGGATGAGGTTGAAGTAGGCAGAGACAGAACAGGACAGAGACTTGCTGTATGATAAGTCTGCTTTAGTCAGGAATCTTTTGGTTGAAAGTGACAACAGCAAGGCACTATGGCTCATGCCTGTAATCCCAGCACTTTGGGAGGCTGAGGCGAGCGGAGGGTGGATCACAAAGTCAGGAGATGAAGGCCATCCTGGCTGACACGGTAAAACCCCATCTCTACTAAAAATACAAAAAATTAGCTGGGTGTGGTGGTGGGTGCCTGTAGTCCCAGCTACTTGGGAGGCTGAGGCAAGAGAATCGCTTGAACCTGGGAGGCAGAGGTTGCAGTGAGCCGAGATTGCACCACTGCACTCCAGCCTGAAGGACAGAGTGAGACTCCGTCTCAGGAAAAAGAAAAAAAGAAACAGAAAAAGAAAGTGACAACGAAGGGTTAAGAGTTCAGGGTTCTCATCTTTGGTCTCCTTTGTGTTAGCTTCCCTCTTGGTCAGGCCTCTATGCGTGCTTCCTGATCTCCCCAGTCACACAGAAGCCAACGGCTTGAGTCAAGAGAAAGGGGGTGAGGAAGGCCAATGGACAGAGGATGCTTTTCTTTCCACTCTTACCCTCAAGGTTACCTTCTTTGCAGGCAAGTCTAGACCTCCTGAGGTAGACCCTCAGTGGGAGGGCAGGAAGCTTAGCCTTTTAGGGACTTTAGGGAGATAGAGAAGGGGACAAGCGAGGGGACTGTTCCAAGACTCCAAAGCCGTTTGCTTTCTTAAAAACAGCAAACCCACAGCCCCCTATCTCTTTCGCTAAGAGCCCAAATGCATTTTCTCTGCTGTATCCTCAGCCTACCTGGGGAGCAGGATTATTTGGGTTTGGTAAAAGAAAAAGGGAGGGCAGCAACCCCGGAAACGCCTCCTGTCTCCCGCCTCTCGTTCTGGTCCTCTGGCCCCTCAGTAGTAACTAGGCCCTGACCTACTTGTCTTACTCCTGCTGCTTCTTCCCCCACGCCACCCCCGGCCTCCCGCCCCTTCTCCGACCCCGCTCCAGGTCCTGCCCCAACTTCAGGGCTTCGGAACTCCTCCACTGTCCTGTGGAGGGATAGCCCTTCTACCTGACGCACACCCTACCCGGGAAGAACCAATCGAAGACTATCCCACCCAGGGACCCCCTTTTTTTCTGGGACCCAGCGTTTCCGCCTCCGGGGCGCAGACTCCTCCCCCTCACCGTCCCAGTTGTATTCCCTGGAAGAGCAGCCGGAAAAGCCTCCGCCTTCTCAGACCGGGATAGACGAGAAGCTGCTTTCTCCTCGCAGCCGGCTCTCTGAGTCCCAGGAACCGCCGCGGCCGCCGGCACCACCTGGGCCCAGCTCCAGGCGGGCGCGGCTTCAGCACCACGGACAGCGCCCCGCACGCGGCCCTCCTGCCCGCGGCGCTTTCCAGCCGGTGTAGGCGAGGCAGAGAGCTATGCCCGCGGCATGGCCCGGCGCTGCGGCCCCGTGGCGCTGCTCCTCGGCTTCGGCCTCCTCCAACTGTGCTCAGGTAAGGGAAAGACCGGCACTGGCCAGGTTCTCGTACCCCAGCCAACGGCCCACGACTCGCCGCGTTCTGACTCACCCCTGCCAGGCCGGAAGGTGGAAGGAGGAATTCCCTAGAGGTGGGGGAGTCTGCTGGGGGTTTGGGGAGAGCTCCTGGGGCTGCAGAGAGCACCTGGGAGACTGGACTGGGACGAGGACATACCCGAAGGAGTAAGTGAAGCAAGCAAGAGATGGAAACCTGGCCAGCGGTGGTAGAGGGTGCAGGCACCGAGAGCAAAGAGGCAGGGGATCTCCCCAGGCTTTCTGGGCTGGCAGATGGGCAGGCTCTGAGGGCGCTAAGATGCCATCTGACTTTTTGTGAAACATTATCTCAAGAAAGGTAACTGGGGTAAGAAAGCTTACCCCTCCTTAAGCTCCCCATAGTTTCCCATCCCCCACATTGGGCTCCAGATTCTGGTCACCCTACAGGGGCTGAGAAGGGGAGAGAACGGAACGGACTTTTTAACCCTCCTGTAGGGTGGGACAGGAGGCTTGGAAGGGAAGAAGCTCTGTGAGGTTGATGACTAGGAAGGAATTCTCTGAGGGGGTGGGGAGGGGTGTGTTCCTGCAGAGTTGCAGAGGGGGATGGAGTATGTGGAGGGTTGTGCAAAGGGAATGCACAACCGATTGAGCTTTCCACATCTACAGGCCATCTCTGGGGGTGGGCTGCTGTGTGTGTGAAACCTGGGGCTAGATATATGCCTGACCCACAGCTTAGGCAGCCCAGCTATTCCACTCCAATCCAGTGCCTTTAGGGAGAGGGAAGGATGGTGTCGTAACCACAGTCACGTGTCATTATGTGAGGCACATAATGTCATTTGCACACATAAATGGTGAACGGGAACAGTTGTGTCCCACCATACACACCCTTTCTCCTCAATCAGTAGAAGAAAGGGTATGTGTGGCGGGACACAAATAACTGTCCCCCTTCACCGCCCTGCCAAACCTCCCTTGAGTCATAGGTATTTTCTGGGGAAGCCATGGAAGCAGAAATGTCAAACTACCCTCTGAGACCCTGGGAGAAGAGCAGGTCTCCACGAATCCTTGCAGAGCAGGTTCTTAGTCTGTGGGACTCTATGGACTCCTTGGTCAGTGGTTTCAGAGAGGGGCTTTTCTATGAAGATGTTAATCTGGGGCCTTCCTGAGGTGAATCTAAGCATTTTGCAGTATCCTTAGGGATGTAGGGAAGGATACTGGTTGGGCCTGGATTGTCCCACTTGCCTGGGGAGGGTGGGATGCTGGATGGGCCCTCCTTGCCTACTTACTTTCTTCCTGCCTTTCCCCTGCCCAGGGGTGTGGGGTACCGACACAGAGGAGCGGCTGGTGGAGCATCTCCTTGATCCTTCCCGCTACAACAAGCTTATCCGCCCAGCCACCAATGGCTCTGAGCTGGTGACAGTACAGCTCATGGTGTCACTGGCCCAGCTCATCAGTGTGGTGAGTGGGGGTGCCAGACTCTTTGCCCAGCTACTGAAGTCATCCCCGACAACATGTGTTAACATTTGTGTGCTTCCTCCTCTGGTGTTTCCAAGCTTGGGGAGGTGTGAGAGGGACCCTGGGTGGTGGCAGTGAGCCCACAGGCTGAGGGGCTTTCTCGGCAGCCTCTCTTCCTCCCTGCAGCATGAGCGGGAGCAGATCATGACCACCAATGTCTGGCTGACCCAGGTAAGCATAAGTGCTCTCTTCCACCCACATCCCTGCCTTCTCTTTCCTCCTTTTTCCCCATGTGCTTTTTTTCTTAATTTCCTCAAAGGAGGCAGAAAGGTATAGAGTTTGGAGTCCTAAATAATTGGATTTGAATCTTGGCAATCACCAGCTGTGTGACCTTAAACATGTTAAACTCTCCAAGATTCCTTTTCTCATTTTTAAATGTAAATGTAAATTCTTTTTTATTTTTATTTTTTAGACGGAGTTTCACTCTTGTTACCCAGGCTGGAGTGCAATGGCGCAATCTCGGCTCACCGCAACCTCCGCCTCCTGGGCTCAGGCAATTCTCCTGCCTCAGCCTCCTGAGTAGCTGGGATTACAGGCACGCGCCACCACGCCCAGCTAATTTTTTGTATTTTTAGTAGAGATGGGATTTCACCATGTTGCCCTGGATGGTCTCAATCTCTTGACCTTGTGATCCACCCGCCTCGGCCTCCCAAAGTGCTGGGATTACAGGCGTGAGCCACCACGCCCGGCCCTGTAAATGTAAATTCTTATACAGTACCTTGGCCTAGCTGTGCATATTGAAGGAGAAAGTACCGTATGAGCCACACTTGATGGGCAGAAAAGTCACTGTGGGAAAAGCCTGGCTTTTAAAAGATCCCTCAAGCCATATGGACCCCCTCCTGTCAGTTTCCTTAATCTTGAGCCCCTCCCAGGGCAGAAATTGGTACTGCCTCCCTCTCTCATTTCCTAGGAGTGGGAAGATTATCGCCTCACCTGGAAGCCTGAGGAGTTTGACAATATGAAGAAAGTTCGGCTCCCTTCCAAACACATCTGGCTCCCAGATGTGGTCCTGTACAACAAGTAGGAGTAATAGGAAGGTTGGGGAAGACCACTGGAGGGTTCAGGGAGGGAAGGGGTTATGGGGAAAATAAGAGAAATTCACTTATGCTGTGGGAGGGAAGGGACTTATAATAGACAGATAAGCGGTCACTACCTAGACAGACAGACGCAGACCAGTGGGGTGCTGTGTGGACAGCCAAGGTGACTTGGGCCGTGACCAGCCCACTCCCAGCCAGTTAGGACTCCCAGTATGTACTTGGTAATGTGGTGGGGATACAGACAAGTATTGACAGCCCCCAGCGCCTCCACTGATTCAGGAACATTCCTGGAAGCCTGGAAAGGACCAAAAAACTTTAAGGTCCCAGTTTCTCCTCCAGGTTCTATCCTGCCTCCTGCAATAGTCCATCTCATCTCTAAGGTACAAAGTCATCATCCTCAACTGATGGGACCATGCCCTGTCCCCTTCCATTGCTTGGGGCTCCTCACTCTGCCCTCCCTGTCTCTCCCAATTTCTCTACCCTCATGAGATCAACCAGCTTATACAATGTGTGACAAGTAGCAGATGTGTCGCCTCCCTCCACCTACCACCCCCTACTACCTGTGAGTGATTACATGGGCCTTCTGACCAGGACGCTTCTTCTGGCCACCAACTCCCTCCTCCTGCATATCCCCTTCTTGCTCAATTCCTGCTCCCCCCTCTGTACTTCCGGATGGTTACTCTCAGACCTGGGTTTCCCCTCCCCATGTCTCCCTTTGGTTTTGCTCTCCTCTCACTAGGAACTGGGTTGATGGGTGTGGAGGAAGGAACGCTTAGACCAGGACTGACTGTGCCCATCCCTTGGCAGTGCCGACGGCATGTACGAGGTGTCCTTCTATTCCAATGCTGTGGTCTCCTATGACGGCAGCATCTTCTGGCTGCCGCCTGCCATCTACAAGAGCGCATGCAAGATTGAAGTAAAGCACTTCCCATTTGACCAGCAGAACTGCACCATGAAGTTCCGTTCGTGGACCTATGATCGCACGGAGATCGACCTCGTGCTCAAGAGTGATGTGGCCAGCCTGGACGACTTCACACCTAGTGGTGAATGGGACATCGTGGCGCTGCCGGGCCGGCGCAACGAAAACCCCGACGACTCCACGTACGTGGACATCACGTATGACTTCATCATTCGCCGCAAGCCGCTTTTCTACACCATCAACCTCATCATCCCCTGCGTGCTCATCACCTCGCTGGCCATCCTCGTCTTCTACCTGCCGTCCGACTGCGGCGAGAAGATGACGCTGTGCATCTCCGTGCTGCTGGCGCTCACCGTCTTCCTGCTGCTTATCTCCAAGATCGTGCCGCCCACCTCCCTCGACGTGCCGCTCGTAGGCAAGTACCTCATGTTCACCATGGTGCTTGTCACCTTCTCCATCGTCACCAGCGTGTGTGTGCTCAACGTGCACCACCGCTCGCCCACCACGCACACCATGGCACCTTGGGTGAAGGTCGTCTTCCTGGAGAAGCTGCCCACACTGCTCTTCATGCAGCAGCCGCGCCACCATTGCGCCCGCCAGCGCCTGCGCCTGCGGCGACGCCAGCGTGAGCGCGAGGGCGCCGGAGCCCTCTTCTTCCGCGAAGCCCCTGGGGCCGACTCCTGCACGTGCTTCGTCAACCGCGCGTCGGTGCAGGGCTTGGCCGGGGCCTTCGGGGCTGAGCCTGCACCAGGGTCGGGCCCGGGGCGCTCCGGAGGGCCGTGTGGCTGTGGCCTCCAGGAGGCGGTGGACGGCGTGCGCTTCATCGCGGACCACATGCGGAGCGAGGACAACGACCAGAGCGTGAGTGCCGCGGGCTGGGCCCCTGGGCGTGAGATACCTGGTCTGCCAGAGCCCGGGTATCTGGAAAGCAGCCGCATTCCGTAGCCTTGCAGAGCTAGAAGGAGTGCAGGAGAGGGAAATGTGAGTCAGACCTCTGTTGCGGGCCTGGGCGCGGCCTAAATTGTAGTCGGCAGAGGATGACCTTGCGGCTCCCTGAGGGCTGGCATCCAGGGCAAAATGCCTGAGCTGGGGCATCCTTATACGGGCAGGGAGGCCTGAAACACGAGGAGGCCCTTTAGGGTTGGCAGCCAGCCTGTGGCCGTGACCCCGAGAGTCCCTCCCTGCTGCTTGCATGCCCACATCCACGTTGTTAACCTGCAATTCTTAGCACAAGTGGAGGTTGCACCCCACGGACAGGAGGGGGCAAAACTGAGGACAGAAGTGTGTATGTGTTGGGGGAGGGGTGGTGTTGGTGGCGGGGTTAGGGAGTCCAGGAGCCTGCTTGTGGCAGAAAGGTTGAAGTCCCAAATCAATATCCCTGCTCTTCTGTGTCCCAGGGGATGGCTTTCTGAAATATTTATGGAGATAGGGTGGGTGCAGGAGAGGGCTCTTTGGCCCCTGCCCCAGGCTTTCTGCACACCTGGATTTTGGCTTCTTCTACAGGGTTCCCAGAGAGCTTCCTTGAGACTGAGCCAAGAGTTGGGGGGAGCTATGATAGGCTGACATTCCCCCTACTTTGGGTGGGGGCTGGCCCCACCCTGTGGTCAGTTTCTGGCTACCTGGCTGGTTCCAGGCTGAGGCTCAGCTGTTGCCATGGTGACTGGCCAGGTTTCCTCTGGGATAGCTGCCATTCCGGCTGGGGGATGAGGAAGGGCACTGTGGTGTTGTCTTCAGAGATCTGTTTCCCTGGACAGCAGATCAGTTGAAGCTGAAGCTTGGGCCAGGGAGCATCATACAGTCTGGATGGAAGAAGAGGTGGGCAAACACTGGAGGAGATGGGGCAGGAATCTTAGAGCCAGCTGAGGCCAAGTGGGAGATGCAGGGACTCAGCAGGCTGCCGTTACCGCCTCCACCTCTCCTGCTGCAGTCACGCATGTATTGTGCATTTACTGAGCTGGGTGCTGAGGATGCGGTGACCTACTTGGATGCTTCACAGGCACCTCAAACTCAACATGTTCAAAACCGAGTGCTTGGTCTACATCCTCACCACCAACTTGCTCCTCTACCAGCTTTTAGTACAGGACATCACTCTTCACTCAGTGGTTCACACTGAAAACCTGAAGTGGTCCTGGACCCCTGTGCTTTCTCACCTCCTTCTCTGTCCAAGTCATCAGAAGTCCTGTCCTGTCATAACCTCAGCTTCATCCTTTTTCAGCATCTTGATGCTGACCCTGGTTCTAGGACATCATCTGCTCTTGCCTGGTCTAGGACGGAAGAGTCTCTTAATAGTCTCCCTGACTCAGCTCCTATGCTCCTGCATCCAAATAGACACCATCTCCTTCTCAGCTCATGCCTTTCCCTCCTTGCTCAGGTCACTGGCTTATCTTGTCTTAAGCAAGCCAAGCTCTTTTGTGGCCTCAGGACCTTTGCACGTATGGGTCCCTCTGCTTGGGATGCCCTGCTTTTCTTCTTTTCAAAAATTATTACTATTATTAACTTGCACTCTACTATTTGAGAATAAGTTGTAGATACTGTGACTCTTCATCCCAAATAATTCAGTGTGTCTCTCCTAAGAACAGGGACACTCTCTTGCATAACCCAGGTTCGGTGATTGACTTCTGAAAGTTTAGTGTCAATATCTTTTATCTCATATACATTCCACATTTGAATTTTTCCAATTGTCCCAATGATGTCCTTTGTAGCACCACCCCCGACCCGCGTCCTGATCCAGGATCTCGAATTACATTTAGTTGTCGTGTCTCTAGTTTCCTTCCGTCAGGAGCAGTTCCTCTGCTTGTCTGTCATGGCATAAGCGGTTCTAAAGGGTCCAGGTCAGCCGAATGTCTCTCCTTTTGGGTTTGTCTGATTGTTTCTTTCTTCAACTTTTTCCTCACGCAGCTGGTTCCCTCTCCCTCATCAGACCTTAGCTTAAATATCACCTCCTTAAAAAGGCTTTCTCAGACCACACTCCAAATGATAGCGCCTCCTCTTCATCATAGTGCTTCGTTTCCCAGTGTGTAATTTTTAAATTTGCGCTTTTTGCTCCGCCTCCCTCGGTAGACTGTAAACCACTGGATGCATGTCTGTTGCTCATTTGCATCCCCAGTGTGTAACATGGTGCCAGGTATATAACAGGCACAGTTGCCTCACGCATGGGTTCTTCAGCTGCTGACTAAATAAACATGCTCAGTGGTTGTCTCTCCACCCCCTGAGCTGGCCGGGCTCCAGATAAACATGTGCATAAAGGCCCATACTCGGGCTGGAGAGGAGCAACTCGGAGGAGATGCTGGCCCTTTGTGCAAGCCGTGTGACTGGCTCTCAGACCCACAGACAGGATTATCTTTTTGACTGATGTGTTCACATCTGGGACCCGGTCCTTACCCTCCGGGACTGTGGTGTGGTTGGATGGGGCTCAGTGTGTGATCATAAAAGGGGCCAGGCCTGCTGAGGCAGCCATTTATTCAACACTCTGTGTGCCAGATGTTGAGATTACAAAGATGCATCAGGGTCCTTGTTGTTTGGGAGCCTGTAGCTTAGTAGGGGGACAGGCACGCAAATGGAAACAATGCAGTACAGTAACAATACTGTGATGGAGATGTGTACACAGTGCAGAGGGAACCCAGAGCGGACAGTGGTTCATGCTGATCTGGGGGTCGAGGCAGCCCTCAGAGAAGGTGATGTTTGATTTGGGCTTTGAAGGATGTGTAGGAGTGTAGCAGGTAGAGAAAGGGAGCTCAGGATTTCCTGACACAGAGGTAACCCGAAGGCACAGAGGCCTGGGAGGTCACACTGGGGTTTGGTAAGGCCACGTTATGGGGTGGGAGGAGGAGGAGATAGGCTCGTATTTGTCACAAGTGGGTCTCGATTCCAGACTTGGGAGTTTGGATGGGCCCTGAAGGCAGTGGGAGGGCCGCTGGAGGCTTTTGCTAAGATCAGAGCCATGCTTTAGCAAGGCCATTTTGGGATCACTGTGGGAGAGGAGTGGGGTGTGCGTCTGTGCGGTGGGACCTGCTTATACTCGTTTGCCTCCCATCCTGCATCATGTGACCTGGGCCTCCTCCATCTCCTCCATCCAGGTGAGTGAGGACTGGAAGTATGTTGCCATGGTGATCGACCGCCTCTTCCTCTGGATCTTTGTCTTTGTCTGTGTCTTTGGCACCATTGGCATGTTCCTGCAGCCTCTCTTCCAGAACTACACCAGCACCACCTTCCTCCACTCAGACCACTCAGCTCCCAGCTCCAAGTGAGGCCTTCCTCGTCTCCGTGCTCCCTCACCCCGCCACGCTCTGTTGCACAGTGGGATTGGGTGGAGGACGGACGAGTGAGCTACCAGGAAGAGGGGCGCTGCCCCCACAGATCCATCCTTCCACTTCATCTGGAGCCCCTCCTCCCCCACACCTCCATCCACACACAGCAGCTCCAACCTGGAGGCTGGACAAGCTGCTTTCTGTTTTGGCTGCTCTCTCTTCTTGTACCAGCCCAGGCAACAGTGTTGACGGGGGAACAAGCCTGCCGAGAAGCAGAAGACAGAGATGGTAGAGCCATCCACCCTGAGGAGTGATGGGCAAGCGGTCAGGAAGGGGCCAGGATCGTCTGCTGCCTCCAAGTCTTGGGAGAAGAGCAGTATAGGACAAGGGGTGAAGAGCAGGCACTCAGACCGCACCAGGCTGGCCTGACACAATGGTAGCTCAGAAGGGAGGGGAAGAGGAGAGAGGCCCCATGTGACCTGACACCTACCGCTATTTGAGTGGACAGCAGCTGGACTGGGTGGGCCCCACAGAGGTCAGCAGTTCCTGCCCAGTGGGTTTAGCCTGGCCCCGCGGTCACAGACCCCTGGGGGAGGCTTCCAGCTCAATCCCACAGCCCCTTGCTTCTAAGGGGTCCCGAGACCTTCCCCAGATCCTCTTTACCCACTGAAGAATTCTGCACCTTCTAGACTTTCCTCTCCTTCCTTTCTTCTCGGGCTCAAGGTGTGTTGGGTAAGCCTGAGTATTAGGGGAGCTCCTGAGTTCTGAATCTTTGAGGGAGCTGCTTGGAGTCTCAGGTCCGAATACTTGAACTCTGTGTGACGTGCAAGTTCATGGGCTTTTGGAACTGGAAGAACTTTGTACAGCCACGGGTTCCAACATGAGCCATGTTGCAGATGAAGAAACAGACCCACACGGAGAGACAAGCCCAGGCAGGTCTCTGGCCCTTCCTCCCTGCCCTGAGATCCATCTGTCGAGTGCTCTGTTTTTTCCCCACTTTGAACTGACTGGTGACTTGAAGGAATGAACAAAGGATGTTAGCTTTAGGCCGACCCAGTCTTTGACTGCAGTAGAGGTGAGCCGAACGGCTGGAACTCTGCTACATCTGGGCCGCTCCACCCTGTCCTGTCCGTGGCTCCATCCTCTGGCTGTCACTCTTCCTCTTCCCCCTCCCAACCAAACCTGAGCCGCTTTGAAGCAGAACCTGGAAAGGACAGGGCTGCTGCTGCCAGTGACTCCTCAGAAAGCACAGCCTCAGCTTCCTGTCCCATGTGTCCCTGGAAGCTGTACCCTGACTCTGCTCCCAGAGGCCAGCTGGAGGCCACTTGACCAGATAGCCCAGGGAACAGACCTCTTAAGGGATCTCCTGTTTGCTTGTGGTCCCAGCCTGGGCTCAATGCTGGGCCAGCAGATGGTGAGTTACAGAGGGGTCAGCCTGCCAAGGGCCCCTGAGGGGCCTGACCTGACACAAGCCATTTTGTCCCTAGATCCCAGCTGGGACTCCTGCTCCTCTAGGCATGGCAGAGGTGGAGGAGACAGCACAGGCATAGAGCACAAGACAGGGACCCCAGAGTCTGGGTTCAAGTCCCGGCTCTGCTAGTAACGCATGTGAGCCAGCTTGAACAAGTCCCTTCACCTTGCTGAGCTTCCTTGCCTGTAAAACGTGGGTGGTAATGCCCTCTTCGTGAAGTTGCCGTGAGGACAAGGCAGTGCTTGTGAAAAGCCCAGCGCTATACCTGGCACACAGTAGATGCTTCACGAATGCTGAGTCTGAGAGGCAACTGAAGCTGGTGAGAATGGGGTCGCCTGACTGTCATGCCGGCCTCCCTTCCAGGCCCTCTCCTCCCCTCTCTCTTCCCTGAGGAAACCAAGTCTCCCTTATCAGGAAGGACTGGGGGAGCTGAGAGGAACATTACAGGGAACGGCCAAGGGAATCCAGTGGGTGGGCAGGCTTCTCTCTGGAGCCCCCCTCAGCAGTTTCATTCCATTCCTGGGCTGAATCCTTACCCTGGCCCTACCCCCGTTCTGGGTCAGCGCCTCCTGACACAGAGCCTCCCTCTGTGCTCAGGGACCCCGGGCTCTAGTCAGTTACTGGCTGTGGAAGGATGTCATTGCGACAGGAAGCCAGCAGCTGCAGGAGACAGGCCTCAGCGCATTTCCCCTTCTGCCAGGACGGGCTCACGGGCATCTTTTCTTGGTAGCAGGGAGAGTGTCTGCACCATGGAAACTTCCCCTCTTCTAGAGCAGATTGGGAGTTGCCTGTATTATGCCGGAACCCTCCTCAAACCCATGGTCCTGGAGAAAGCGTCTTGGAACCAGAAACAGCAACAGGAAAGGAGCCTCCCTCTGAAGGGGAGGATGTCGGCCTGAGGCCCTCCCTCGAGGCTCTCCCAGGGCCTGGGCTACCCGGAGGCCCCGGCAGCTGCTGCTCTGTCTGTACTTGCTTTTAATATTTCCCATACGTGGCTGTTGTCCAAGTTAAGTCACCAAATGGTGCTAGAGGGGATGGCAGAGAGCAGCTTGTCCAGCTCCTCTCCATGACCCGGTTAACATACAAGGAGACTGAGGCCGGGAGGTTGTCTGCTGTTTGAACTCTTTTAGGAACCGGCTGTCCTGCATCCACACAATGAAGATGACAGAGCTAGCTAGGTCTTCAGTAAGAAAGGGGTCAGTGTGTACGGAAGGGTTACCTGGGCAGTGTCATACCTTCCATCTCTGTATGCAGCCCTGTGGGGACCATCACAGTAAGAGGTGAGGGCAGAGGTGAAGGAAAGGGGGCTCCACTGCCCAGGCAAGGTGTTACCATGTGTTGAGACAGTGTGAACCCTCAAGTGCTTTGGGGGAACCAGTCTCTTCCACTCTTGGGAAGAGAGTGTGTCCTGTGTCCTCTCGATATCAGGGAAGCTCCATGCCTCCTTTCCGTGGTGGGGCTTTATCTGCAGAGAATCGGGTGCCCAGTATTGAGCAAGGACTGGAGGAAGCTCCAGATCTGGAGGAGGAGGCGGAGAGACTGGATGGAAACCTGCATGCAGCAAGGGTCTGGGAGTGGGAAGTGAGGAAACGATGGGGTTATCTCCATCACAGACGGCAAGGCCGCAGGTGATCCGAGAACTATTTTTGTCTGAAAAGAAGGCACGCATAGGCGCTCTGCTTTTGACAGGCGGTGTTGCAGAGGGAGGAAGGCAGCTTCCTGGCAGCGAGGTAGAAATACTAGAACAGCTGGTACCAAGTTATTGAAAATTCAAAAGCAAACAAGACACAGAAGCCCCAGGTGGTGTGCTCTGCTTAGGAAGGCTATGGCGGAGGAAGGGCAAGCCCGTTTCCTCCTAATGGTCCTGAAAACGGCGGAAGAGGAAACAGGGAGGGCTCTTTGGGTGATGTGGTGGCCTTGGGCTGTTTGTATTAGCTTCTGTTACTAAGGGTCTGCCCTGTGCCAGGTCCTCAGCATGCACTCTTTATTCCTCACGATAATCCTAGGGGAAGGGGGCTCCATTTACACAACAGAATTGCAGCTGAGAGAGACCAAATGACAGCTAGTGAGTAGTGCTGGGCGCCTAAACCCCAAAGTCCACACTCTTGCTGTAGCTACTGAGGCAGGCAGAAGAGCTCCTTGGGAGGAAAGTGAGGGGCATTCAGGGCCTTCTCTGAATCACTCCCCAAGCCAGAGTAGACCCGGTTCCCGCTGTCCCTGTTTCCAGGCACAGTCAGGCGACTGTTGTAGCATCCCTCCCAGCCCAACCAGTGCTGGCCAGACTCCCACCCACCGACCTGGACTAGACAGAGAACAAACAGCCACCTTTTAGTCTTCATCCCAACAGGTCCAGGCAGTCAGTGTGATAGCCATGTGGTTCCTAAGGGACTGTAGGTCTAGGAATCATTAGACACTCCCCCAGCCACCCTCGATGCCCTCGCCTTCCCCACACTGCCCCTGGCCTCCCCTTTCTGCACTCCTGGAGTATTTGCACTGGTCTAGTCCACTCCAGGTTGCACTCATTAGGAACTCAAGATTCTCGTAAAGAAAGTTGTTTCCAAAGTTGTCTTGTCACTCTGTTATATTCGGGGGCTGGGGAAGAGCCCTCATGGGCCAGTGTTGGCAAATACAGGAAAAGGGAGAAGGCTGGAGAAGCTGGATTTGGGAGAGGTTAAAGACATTACAAGAATCCAAAGAAAAGGTGAGTGGTGACAAGTCCGTTGAGTTACTGTGACTTGCTGCTTTACAAATCCACTCATCAGATGGAAAAGAAATGGCCAAGTGACTGGGCCTGGAGCAGGCAGCGTCCACAAATGGCCTCTGGGGAGTCGTTTGTAAAGGACAGGGCAGAGGTGAGGACCAGTCTCCTGGAGGCGGGGATTGCTGGGGTGTCCTCTCATAGCCCCTGTGCTCTGGGAAGTCAAGGCTGCAGTTTGCATAAGGCCAGATGTGCAGACCAGGGCTCACATCCTGGAAACAGGATTAAATTGTGAGCCTCCTAAATGAAATGCAGGTGGACAGCAACTGAAATGAGCTGAAGAAAAAAATCTCTCTTGTGCTCCCACAGGGCGGCCCTACTCCTCAGCCCACTTAGGGAGAGTTGTGGGAGGACAGCATTGTTCCCTTTGGAGACAAGGTGGCTGGGCACTCGCCTCAGGCTTTAAGGAAACCGTCCACTTTCTAAAAGACCTGGCACCACATTTCCCTCCATCTGGAACCAGGAGCTGTCTGAGAACAGAGAGGACAGAGGCACTTGAGAGTCCTGCTACATCACAGCAGGCAGAGACAACAGCCTTCATTGTCTTTCCATTTATAACTGTTGGCCGGTACTGTGGCTCACGCCTGTAATCCCGGCACCATGGGAGGCTGAGACAGGTAGATCACCTGAGGTCAGAAGTACGAGATCCGCCTGGCCAACGTGGTGCATAGAATATTGGCTGGGCGTGGTGGCGGGCATCTGTAATCCCAGCTATTTGGGAGGCTGAGGCAGGAGAATCGCTTGAACCTGGGAGGCAGAGGTTGCAGTGAGCCAAGATCACACCACTGCACTCCAGCCTGGGCGACAAGAGTGGGACTTGGTCTCGAAAAAACAAAAACAACAAGAAACGAAAGCTGTTCAGCTCACCCAGCAATGTATTTCAGCACATGATGAATGACAGCTGTGGTGTTCTGGTCCCTAAGAAATATGCCCACGTGTCACTGGCCCTTCTAGCCTCAGTTGTTCCTTCTGTGTAATGGATGAGGCAGGTTTCATTGGGACTTAGCCCCAGTGTTAAGTGCTTTAGGTCCTCTGGTATGATATTTTTTAAAGGTCTAGGATGAGTCCTCTAGAAATTCTGAAGTAAGTTTCAACGTGAAAAAGGTACATTCTCTTTCAAATTCAAGGAGAGATGTTTTGGATGTCACCTACAATGTAAAACGAAAATGGTGCATCTCCTGACTGCAGCCCAGCCTGTCCTGGTCCCGGCTGCAACTTTACTCCAAGTATGCATATTCCTGGAAGCTAAACAGCTGCGGGTAGTGGGGTTTGCGGGAGCTAGAAAAACGCCCCTGAAGGAGAGCTGGCATCGTGCACGTAATTGCTAACCCCGTCTCAAGGGATGTTTTTCTCCTCTGGGCCTTGACATCCTGCATCGCAAGTCCCGTTGGACAAGATATTTAATAGTGGGCTCTGCTGGGGAAGTAATCAGAAGGTGCCTGATGAACCCCACCCCCACCCAGACACACACTTACCCACCACGGGAGGTTCTTTGAAACCGCTCCTTTCCAGAGACTGAAGGATGGCCCCGTCCCCGGCAGGTTCATGTCAGCTACCACTGATGCTGTTATCAGAAACCCCAGGGCCAGGTCCCTCTGTTCCCATTTTCACCTCCCCCAAGAAACCAGGACTTGAAATTTCATCTAAGAATTCAGATTCTTTTTTTTTTTTATTTATGAGGAATGTATATTGGGGGTTGTTATTAGCAAGGGACACGTAAAAGCGGAATCATAAACTGGACTGCAGCCATCATCACGGCACCCAAGCCTATGCTCTTGGGCTCTTCCTGACTCTGCTCTTGGAGTCACAACCAAGACTCCAAAAAACCAACGAAGTCCTTTCAACGTGAGTAAAGGAAACAGCTTTAAGCATTGACGATTTTTACAAGTGATTATTCAAGAAATGCACAGTAGCCACAGTTCAGACAAATCAACTACCAAAATCATTAAAAAGAAAGAGGGGGGAGGGGTGCTGCTTATTTAAAACAAAAGACTGGACAAAAAAGTGAAGATAACAGTGGGCGGAAGCGCTGCCTCCTCTGTCCTGTGTGACTCAGAGGGGCAAGGGGGCGTGGGGGTGCGTGACCAGACACGGCTCACGTCCAGCAGACGCGTGGAATTCAGGGATGCCTTGCTCTCTTCCTACAACAGAAACGGAATACTACAGGCTTGCTAGATAAGATCTTGGGGGTGAGTGGGGGTTCTGATCTTGTGGGAGCCTGTGTTCCCAGTTAAAGAAGAGGCAGCTGGCCAGAGCTCTGCTGGAGAATCTAATGCCCAAGACGGACCCGAGGCCAAACATTTGGAGGACTCAGTCCCTCCAATGCTGAGAACCACAGACCTCTCTGCCCTGGATGTGGATGCCAAGACTGATTTACTGCGCCCATAGCAGACTCAGAGCTAGGGAGCAGGCCTCTTCCACCTCAGGAGCCAAGTGTCATTTCCCTGCCAGTTCCTTGGGACGCTTTGGTTGTGCAAGGACATCCTTAGTCTATTTTTAAAACTTGCGTTTTCTTATTTTTGGTCAGAAGTACAGAGGGTATAGAATAAAAGCGAAGATGTGAATGCCTCTACCATTGAACAGGGGTGACCTAGTCAGCAGTGAAGGGAAATCAACTGAGGGCGCTGGCTCAGCACGTTCCCAGATGAAGCTCTGTCGTCTAAGGGGAGAGGCAGGCTCAGGTCCTGGACGTGGCAGAGCCTTGGTGGTCCTCCTGAGTGTGTCTAGCTGACTGTTACCAAGGGACATGTAAACGCAGAATCAGAACTGCCACACAGCCATCATCATGGCACCCAAGTCTATGCTTGAGCTCTTCCCCACTCTGCTCTTGGAGTCATGACCAACACTAAAAGCCCACAAAGTCTCTCCAACATGGGTAGAGGAACTAGCTTCAAGCATTGACAGTTTTTACAAGTGACTATTCAAAGAATGCACAGGAGCCGGAGAACCAGACTCCACAGAGAGGCCAACGGCTCTGACCACACAAGTCAAGAGTCACTGTCACTGTTACGTGGAGGTGTAGACAAAGGATTCCACCTCACAGAGTTTGAAGACAACCTGCCCTTTCACCAACGACTGCTTTCCATGTCAGCCCTATAAAGATCAGGTCTGCGCCCTGCTCACGAACCTACTTCTGAAACCATCTGGAAAACTGAAAGGACTTCGATAAATGGAAAAGTATGCTTGAATTTTAAATCTGCGCAATTATAGGTTATCTGTAGCACTTAAGAATCAACATCTATGGCATTCTTTTAAACACTCCTAATTTACATAGGACTTAGTCAAATTCCCTTGGTATCACTGTCATGTGAGAGATGATGCCGGGTGGAACGGTGATGTGAGCCAGCATGATTTTTTGCCCTTCTTCTCGCTAAGTCATGAATATCTGAGCAGAGATGATTTTACACCCTCTGGGATTTGTCCTGGATTTTTCCTACCAGTTGGTTAGGGTGTACACCCAGCACTGGCAGGGCAAATTCCTAGGAATGCTTGAGGGGAAGAGGCAGCTGGAAGCTTGGCAATATTCTAAGGAATGCCTGTGCTCCCTGGGAAGTGGTCTGTGTCACGCTGCAGGGTGAAACCTCAGCTATTGCTTGGGCAACTCCCTTAACCCAGTCTGGCTGGTTCTAGGCTTCCCTGCTGCAGGGGGAAGGGATGCACTCTGGGAAGCAGCCCTCCTTGCCTTGCCTGCCCTGCCGCTGGCTAAAGTGCAAGATGGGAAGATGGCTGGGCATTACCTGCAGGTTCCAGCCACACTTGCATGTACTGGTAACTGCAGTTTGAAACTCCTCCCCTCGCAAATGTTTCACCAAATCCTGTAAGTTCATCTCCGAGGGGGATATGGAGAAATTCTGATCACAAGGAAAGAATCTCAGAAGAAGAGGAGGGGAAGCAGCATTGGGATCTCTGTAATCCACAAATGATATCAGTCCCTGACATGATCCAGAGTTGACTGAAACCTAATCAAGACCACAAGAGGTCAGTGTAGCAAACACAAAGGGAAAGATGGACAAAAATCAAAACAAAACTTTTAAGAGGAAATGGACCGCAGGTGCTCAGTGACTATGCGCATTTTGGGTAGAAAGAAAAGGTAACTTGTTAGGTCTCTGCCTCTTCACTTGGGGAAGAAAAAGGGGGCCTGGCCAGACCTTGCCTAGCAATCCCAAGGTAGGATAAATGAAAACCCAAAGTTTTCAGTATCACCAACTATGGCTTAAAAAGAAAAAAAAAAAAGGGGAAAAAAAATCCCCTGACCATGTGATGAGGAATGCTACAGCCTACCTCTCTCTCACCCTAGCATGACACATCCCGATCCATCTGTCACTGGAGCATACTATACTGGGCAGAGATAAAAGTTCTTCTCCTCCTGGGGTTTGCTAATCCAGTTCCCATAGCCCATATCCTTCAGGCTTTTTTTGAAGTAGTTCTTGGCCGTCTCGTAGTCACGGGCAGCTTTCTTGGCCTCACCATAGGAGAGTCTCAGTAGATCCCTGCGGTAACGGAAGGAGCAGAGCTTCTTAAACAGAAGAAAAATGTTCTTTTTGGAGACCCGGGACAATTCATTCCGTGGCCTGGAGAAACAAAAGCACTCATTATTCACCTGGGAACTGTAAAGTGAGGCGCTCACAGTGGCTGGGGAGGCGGTGCTCAGGCTCTGAGGCTGCAAAGGTGTGATCACCCTCGAAAGTCAGGGCGGAGGCTTGGCTCTCACGGCTCTCCCGTCTCCTTACCCGTCCACGGTGCCTCTGGTGCCGTCCAGGATCTCCAGGTCGTAGCCATCAGCCAGACACCAGTTGACGCTTGTCTCCTTAGTCTTCCCTGACTGCCTTTTGGAATCATATACGCTGACTCTGCCAACCTAGGAATCCCAGAAGCAATGGGATAAAGATGGAAACCTTTCAGGAATAAGATTCTGAAGCAGGGACTCAAGACTCAAAGGAAAGAGGAAGTGTAGGGTCATGATCTTTCCCCTGTATTTTGGGTTGTGTTTGGCAAAGACTGAGCACACTCTAGACATACTAACTCACCCTCGATTCAGACTGATGCCAGACTAAGAGAAGGGAAGCCCTTGGCATCCGAAAGGAAGAAAGTTTAAGTTCTGGGGACACCAAGCAATGTTGGTGGTGGGCCTCTGCGGGCAACGTTCCCCTTGCCCACAGTGTACATTTTTGCTCTGTGTACGTGACTGCTTGAAAAGGAGAAAAATGTCAGGGAAAACAGAGGGGGTTATAGCACCTTGGGGTGGTTGACAATAAAGGGATGTCGCAGTCCATCCTCAAATGCACTCCCGTCTCTTGCCATACGACAGCAAATAGCACGGGTCAGATGCCCTTGGCTGAAAAGGTAACCTGAGTACAAAAAAGAGAAACGTATATTGTGTTTGCACCAAATGCTGTTCAGAGGCAGAGGCACGTGGGGATCTTGGAGGTACAAAGTACAGTTACCAAGAACCAGCAACAGCTGCCTTGTTAGGAAGCACATTCTGACTGGGGCTACCCAGGATCTACGTGGGGTCATCAGATATTTAAGCAAAATATACGAGGTTCCGGGTAAGGCCAAAGACTGTGGAGAGCAAGGAAACAAAGACGCTGCAGTTTTAAGCTGCTGTGTTTTTTTTTTTTTTTTAAGACAGGGTCTCGCTCGGTCTCCCATGCTGGAGGGCAGTGGCATGATCACAGCTCACTGAAGCCTCAACTTCCTGCGCTCAAGCAATCGTCTCATCTCAACTGCCTAAGCAGCTAAGTAGCTGGGACAATAGGCGTGTGCCACCATGCCCAGCTAATTTTTTAATTTTTTTTAAGAGATGGGCGTGTCTATGTCACTCAAGCTGGTCTCAAACTCCTGAGCTTAAGCAATCCTCTCGCCTGGCCTCCCAAAGTGCTGGGATTATAGGAATGAGCTACTGCACCTCACCCTGCTGTGTTTCTTTTTTTTTCCCCTTTTTTTGGAGACAGAGTCTCACTCTGTTGCCCAGGCTGGACTGCACTGGCATGATCTCAGCTCACTGCAACCTCTGTCTCCCAGGTTCAAGTGATTCACATCCCTCAGCCTCCCAAACAGCTGGGACTATACCTACCACACCAGGCTAATTTTTGTATTTTTGACAGAGATGGGGTTTCACCTTGTTGGCCAGGCTGGTTTCGAACTCCTGGTCTCAAGTGATCTGCCCACCTCCGACTCTGAAATTGCTGGGATTACAGGTGTGAGCCCACCATGCCCTGATCCTGCTCATCTTAAAAAGGCTGGCCTGGCTGGTCTTTACGGAGGCTTGCTGCCTAAACCCATCTTCCTACCACAGCAGACTGGACAATCTATTACTGAGGAGTGAATCAAGCTCACTTGCATAGGGGAGACATAACACCTGGCAACAAAGCATGCAGTTTGCTGGGATTTGGGAACAAGCAGGACAGACCAGTTCCAGATCCCAAGGCAGGCCCCTTACCCAATGTGACAGATTTGAGATAAATGGGCTGCAGGAAGTGGGTCAACAATGCCCCTTGCAGGCCTAGCACATTCCAGCGTAGGATTTTGTCACTACAGGACATGGTACGGAGCCTCTCTCCAAGCCGAATGCCGTCCCACGTAGGCACAATGTCACTGGATTCCACAGGGATTGTGCCTTCTCCTGTGTGAGAGACTTGCGTCAGACCCACAGGGGCCGCTGGACCAGACCACTCCTTGGTATGGTTTTTATATTCCTTAAGGTTGGGCCACCGGCTACATTCATTCATTCTTCATGTATCTCACAGCCCCTGCTATGTGCCAGGCACTATACTTGGTGGTGGGAAAGAACGGTGAGGAAAATCAAGTAAGATCCTTGTCTTCCTAGAACATCTATGGTGGTTAAGAGGATAGAAAGGGCAGAGAACAGACACTAAACCGGTAACCAGTACATGCAGAAGAATTCCAGATGCTGACAGTGCTCTGAAGGCTTTGAGGGAGCTATGATGGAGGACCGCAGGGGGAACCTCCTGGGACAGAAGCAGCAGAGGAGCCAGCCATGGAGGGGAAGGACAGCTGGAGAAAGTGTTTCAGGCACACAGGAAAAAAGCAAAGGCCCCAAGGCTGCCAGCAGATTGGTTGTTCGGGGGGGTCTGACAAAGAGCCAGTGTGGCTGGAGCCATTTGCAAGGGATGGGGAAAGTGGCGTGAGATGAGGCCGGATGATCAGGGCAGGTTTTGCTTGTACATGAAGTGCAGTGGGAAACCACTACAGGGTTAAAACAACAACAGCCAGCTTTGTTGAGATACAGTGCATATGCCACACAGTTCGCCCGCTGAAAGCATAACAGTTCAGTGGCTTTGAGTTGTTCACAGAGTTCTGCAGCTGTCATCACAGTCAATTTTAGCACATTTCACCACTCCAAAAAGAAACCTCTACCCATCGGCGCAGCCGCTCCTCATCTCTCCAACCCTCCACCCCCGGCGCTGGCAACCACTCATCTACTTTCTGTCTCTATGGATTTGCCTGTTCTGGACATTTCATATAAATGGAATCATACAATATGTGATCTTCTGTGACTGGCTTTTTTCTCTTGGCATCAACTTTTCAAGTGCATCCATATCGTAAGCATGTAGCAGGACTTCATTTCTTTTTATGGCCAAATAATACTCAATGGATGGATATATTTGATGTTTTATTTATGAATCCAGCAGCTGATGGACATCTGGGTTTCTTCCACTTTTTATGGCTATTGTGGGTAATGCTGCCATCAACATTCACTTCTTAGTTTCTGTGTGGACACAGGTTTCCATCTCTCTCCAGCACAGACTAGGAGCGAAGCATTGGCTCCATGCTAACTGTGTCTACACTTTAGGTCATTTATCCGGGTTTCGGGTCCACAGTGATGACTGCTGAAGTGTGGCCCGAAGGGAATGGAGTAGAGGTGAGGAGACAGTGTGGGGACAGGAGGGTATGAGAGGAGGAGTCGTCAGTAGACAAGGCACAGTCAGCTGCCAGCTAGACAGGAGGGGACCCAGGCACTTGGCACCCCTATCTGTCAATTCCTTAGGACTTGGCTGTGCTGCACTCTCTTTTCATCTCCTCCACCCTCTCTCAAGGTGATCCTATGCATTCCTATGGCCGTGAACACCCTTCAGGGGGATGACTCCCGTGTTTTTATTTTCAGCCAAGCTCTCTCCTCTGAGCTGCACATGGGAACCTCCACCTCCTATCTGACTTGGGGATGAACACAGTCAAATGAACCTTGATCTTCCCGCACATCACCCTCAAATGATCACATTCAAAATGGAACCTTCATCTCCCCACACACCTGCCCCGCGCAGGTCTTTCCTCTCCTGCAAACAGCACCTGTGTGTCCAGTGACTAATGGTAAAATCCCAGCAGCCTCGCAGAGATGTGAGAGCCCAGGGCCTTGCGGAGCGTTTTATGGGAAGGAGGGGGTGGGGGGCATGTATCACTCACCGTTCTCCACCTTGGTGCGGAGCTTGCCTTGTTTGGGGTTCTCAAAGACAGGGTAGTGGCGGGAGTCGGTGTTTTCCATGGCACGGTCGCTGCAGGACTTGTCAAAGAGGGCACCATCTCCACACGGAGCGGTGCTGCAAAACAGGGGTGGCTGTTAAAACTTGCCTGCGGGAAACCTGCAATTTCATGGGGCTCCAAAACAGTCAGATGTGACAGAAGCAAGGGATGTTTTCTAAGGCCTACCACGGGAGACTGGAGGCAGACAGCAGTCCACGAGAGTCATTAGTATGAGGCCCGATTTGCAGGCCAGGAAAGCATTCAGATACCCAATTCTAACAGCCTGGTGGGCCCGCCCTGGCAGCAACAGAAACTGGTACAGACCTGATATAGAGATGGAATGACACAGTCTTTTTGATTTGGAGCTTTCCTCCTCCCTTAGCAGGCTCAAATATGCTATCCTTTGCAGTTTGGGGGTTGTATTTCATTAACTCACTGTAGAGAAACCTACAAAAACAAAGTCTGGTTAGGAGGGCAGGTTCAATTCCGGGAAAAGCAGTTGCTTCCTCATCTGACCTCCAGATGAGGAAGTAAGGAGAAGCCTCAGTGCTGCAGACCTGTCACAGTCTCCCAGGTGGGAATTCTCCTGGGAAGACCCCAGCATTTCATAAAGCAAAGTCAGCCTTCTGGGTCTCCTTCATTTTGCTGAGGGCTCCTCGCTCTGGCAGCTACAGGGATTCCAGGGAAGGGGAAATTGATTCAAGGACTACAAGGAAGCTGTTGCTCCTTTCCAAGTCTCTCCCTTCATAAATTAAAGAGAAGGTGAGCTAGAGGAGAAAGCTGGCAGGGCCAGC